GTAACCTTCATCTTTCACGATCATTTGTACTTTTGTGAAATATTCCATGCCCGTTTCTTGATATCTTTTGTTTTTATAGTCTGATTTTCACATATTAAAATTTGCGGAGTCACCAGACAGATGAAAGTAAACAAATGGCCAGTCACGAAAGCAACGCTTCGCTTTTCCCGATAAAAATTCGCCGGTTCCTCATGTAAGTCAATAACCATATAAGGCACATATGTGAAAATCAGTGAGTATACACGCCTGAACGTTGAAAATAGATGAAGTAGAGGGAACAGTTTTGGTCTCGGTTCGCATTTTTGTCACCAAAATGAACACACATTAGTTAAATAGATGAAATGTACGGACTACGTGCAAAGCTGTTAATTGTTTTTCGAAAATTGCGCGTGTTAAATATTCCATAAAGACATCTCATTACATCTAAATCTACTTTTATTAAGTCGGTAAATTTTGTACAAAAATCACACCAACCAATCCGTGCGCAAAGTGAGAAGACTATACGAAGGCTTGAAACTTTATTAAGAACGACTGTGATCAAGAAATGGGCAAGGAATATTCCATTATAGTGCAAATAATGGAGAAAGATGATCGCTGAAAAGCGATTGCGTGACGCTTGGTAAGTTGTAAAATGATCGCGTATCACGTATCACGTATCAGACGAAAGAACAGTATAAATTCTCAGTCTGCATTTGGTACCTAGTCTGTATTTTGGTCTGCAGTCTGTAGTCACCGGATTGGTTTTGCTTTTTTTGTTCGAGCGAGCCTCAAGTCCAGACCGAAGGATTGGAACTCGAAAAAAATTTTAGTGAGACTGTCTTGGCCGCTATGATTGATGTGTGGGCTGTATGTTAAAGAGCTCCCGAGGAAAAGCACAATGATGGAGCATTGATTACTTTATACCGACTGAAGACGAAAGCAAATGCGCGACTTACCAATATAGTTGCCTTTGATGCTCTTCTGCGTGATCATTGCTTGTGAACACTTCGGTTTCTCGATTCAAGTTGCATATATGGAAGTTCGGAAATGTGACTTGAGATATTTATTTGTAATAAACCATACAAACATTTTATTTCTTTCCACGTGAGTTTCTGAGCTTCATCGAAATTAATTTTGACTTTCACTAAGTGGGGAGGGGTAGCGTGCAAGACTACTTCCGTTCACGGTCCACAATGCAACTTCCATCTACGGAATATAACTTACGTCCGCGGTCGACAGCTTTCGTCAACATCTGCTTCCCCACGATACCTCATTCATTGCTTCCAGCATGAATGAGCCAAAAACGAATTTGAAAAAACAAAGCCGCAAGTTGAAATTGGTCATGAAAAGAGTTGACTCTCTGGAAGAAGTGCAGGTCTCTCTACTCGTGGATACTATGTGTGATGAGATACAAAACATGATGTTCAAAAGAATATTCCCACAAAGATTCAAGCCAAACGTACAACGAAAAGTGAAAGACATCGAAGGCATACGAAATTGAGCTGCATTTTAGTATCTGGTGTCTTATCGAGAATCTGTTAGAAGAGCTAACATCAGATAACGGTTAGATAGTTTTTAATATTGTTCCTGTTCATCAATAAAACAAGACAACTAGCATAAACAGTCCTGAAATGTTCATTTTCAAGATTAGGGTTATGGCAACAATGTGTGACGAGATACAAAACATGATGTTCAAAAGAACATTTCCACGAAGATTTAACTCATTAGTATAACGAAAGGTGAAAGACATGTTAAAAACATCGGGAAACAGAGAAAAACGTCAGTGGGTCTCGCTACAAGCTGAACTGAATTGGAAGTACTGCCACTTAGATGCCGTGAAGTCACTAAAAAGTGCTTGCTCTGTCGCAAAGCTGACAGAGGAAGCACTTAGGGTGTCTGTCCAAAAGATGACAGAAGAACACTCCTTTGAAGAAGGTGACGGTTGGCTGTCTGTTAAAGTCGTCAACGAACTAGTTAGCGTGTGGAAGAAATTAAAGGAGAAACACTACTCTTCAATTTTGTGAGAGTCTCTCCTAAAAGTGCATAAACATGTGGCCATATCCACAGGCTTTTACCTAGATATATGACAACAATACCGGACAGCATATGAATCATTGCTGATTGAAACCGTTTAAATCAGCGACTTGACTTTAAAGTTAATGTATATTTCCGATGTTTCATACAAACACTGAACATAGACAATACTCTACCTCGCTTTTAAACATTTAACAAAATGGCATATTTCAACTTCGGATACTATTTCAGGAAACGAACGTTTTTTTTCGCACAGTGGTTCCCTAGTGACCCCTAGTGGTTCACTAGTGGTTCACTAATGGTTCACTGTACTTCCACGTACAGAAAAAAAAGGGTACTTTCGTTCCAGTGGTTGGCTCAGTATCTTAAAGGAACAGGAACAAAAAAGTAGGTGAGGTGAATCTGATGCTTGAAAAAATTTGGCCCGGTAATCTGATTTGCATGCCCACTCCTTCACAACACAATTGGGACATTTTCAGTCTGTTACTTTTAGATAATTTATTAATGTCTTGATAATCCCATCACCTTCATCTTTCTCGAAGATTGATTCAGCTCGCACGAAGAATCACTTCAGCTTTAAAGGTGAGCTTTAAATCACCTCAATTTTAAAGGTGCCCAGCGAGTGCTTTAATGAGCGACAGAACCGCTCGGAACATTCTCGGTGAAAAATTGTTGTAACATGTCTTTACGACCAGCCACACACTTCTCAACTTGAGAAGTGCTGTTAAGTATTAAGACTGATAAAGCCACAAAAAGTGCAGGTAGCCATTGTGAAAAGGTCATGGAGGGTGAGATGAGTAACTTTAAGTGCTTTTGAACTGGAATATAAAGGTTCTCGTGCAAAACGTGAAGTAGTAGTCTTTGAGCACCAGTAGAATTTCTCGGTGAATTTATAGCACAATCTGAAGAATGGAACACATTTGACTTTATTCCTATTGTAGCTGTTGTATTATCCAATAAAAAAAGCTTCAGCCAATCCGACAAGGTACTTTTCACTTCAACCAGGCTGGAGAAAAACGTGAAGAATTTGTGCTGTGTTTACACAACCACGGAGAAGCACGCAGCCGACTAAACTGCATCCTTTACAACGCACCAGGCAACGCACCAGGAAATTTTTGATCGGCGCAAATTTTTGTCTGGGGGATGGGACAGGGGGGGGTCAGAGTCTCCCGTTTCCCCCTACCACGTTCTCCCGCCTCCCGTACTTTTGTGCCCCTTTCCCACCCGACTCCCACCCTTCATTTTGTTGCTTCTATCTTCAGGTTAATCAAGAGGATCAGAGACCTGGGTTTAACTTTCAAACTATGCCAAAACTTAACATTCTTGTTCATTTTCTGGCCTTTTTTTTGGCGGGGGATCATTGGGACCCGATGAAAATTATTACAGGTCAGTTTTCTTAAACTAAGTTTCGCTAACCTAGTTTGACCATCGCTTCTGACATCTCGTTGTAGAGACGAAAGTCTCAGTCCACTGTGTAATGTAATAGCTATTGCAATTTAATATAGGCTTTTCCATGCATTTAGGAATGCCATTTCAGAATCAAATTAAAAAATCAAGAGCCAGACGTAACGTTTAGAGTTTGCTTCTCCTCTATCCGTGCTTCCTTTCTCTTTTTGACGTAAGTAATTGGTCGTAACGAGTTGTGAGTGAATAAAAAAGCTGACTCCATATGATGATTTAAATCGCTACACATCAATTGTTGAATTTTCTGCATTTTGAGCGTTCAGTTTAAGTGCTAGTGAAGCAAACATTTAAATTTACGTTTTCTTGTTTCCAAAATTTTCTTTTAAGCATTGGTGGATGTCAAATGGAAATTTGAAAATTTTTCTAGATAAGTGTTGTTGACTGAATAATAGCCAGTAATAAACAACAAACTATCACCTTCTTCATTTTTGCTCCCGCTTCCCACCCTCACATAGATCCCGCTTCCTGCCCCCTGTTCTCCCCCTTCCTGTCCTCTCCCGCCTCCTGTTCTCCCGGGCTCCCGCCCCCTTGCCCCCTCCACATTTTTGACTTAAAACACAACGATACTTCTTGAATAAATAATTTTATAAGTAAAACAATTGGGAACTGCCTAGGCCCCGAGCAGTAATCTTCTGCTGATAAATTATTTACAGTCAAGATTTTTCGATTATTAATACAATACGGGACTTGTTTTTTTTTTAAGTTCAAACAGCAGACAGTCGCGCAGTACCACAGCAACAAGGAAGTCATTCCTCATGTAAGCACACGAGTATTCTATCAGAAAACAAATTTAGGGAGAGTTTGAAGTTCTCTTCGCCTTTCCTCTGTTAACTACATTTTTTGGGGGGGTCCTCTAATCAGCTGATGATGTAAAGCAACACTTAGATATAGACCAGCGGATTGGCATTTCGGTTTCACGTACACGTGTTACGACGTCCATGGCGGCCATTCAGAGTTAAAGCAATGTGAAGTATGACCAGTTTCTGTTTGTTAGAAATTTCACTCAGTGGTTCTATTTTCCCATTTTTTATATATATTTTGAAAAATTCAGCCACCTTTTTAGGAATAACGCCTAGTTTAAATCCCCTTTAGGATGTTTATAACCACAACTCGCCCTTTTCGTCTTCTGGCTGCTTTAGTCTCCATGACAGCCACGTGCTCAACAATCCATCGAAAGCGAATTGAGAATTTAGTCTTTGGTCTCCATAGTCCAGTTCAGATACAGTGCCGTAAGTTAATTTCACAGGAATCTTCTATTTAAGAACGATGTTGACTCAGGCTGACATCAAAACATAAAGCACAGTTGGCGGAATTTTCCATCTCTTTGCACAATAAGATCGCCCTGGAATGTGTCAATTATTGCCAATCCCTCAGTTTGTTTTTCACTTTTGTGTGTAGGAGGCTTTGTGATGTTAATCACTCCAAGTTAAATCTCTTCTACTGCAATATTTCTTACAGGACCTTGTTTGCACACCAAGAAGATTGCAGAGAAAGACGGTCTGGGTTTTCCTTTCAATTCAGTCATGAGACTTTCACTTGTCCTCGCTTCTCTTGTTTTCTTTTCTGCAGCAGACGTTATCCTTAGTAATGGTGTTCCTGACGTCGGCCAGCCAGGTAAATAAATTTCTATATTATATAGCTTCGTAGACGTGCAGAACGATAAACTTCGCTTGTAAGTTTAGTTGAAAACGCCTTGGAAAGTAACGTGCCATGAACTTGCGTGCACACGGAAATTTGAAATTTAGTTTTACAAACATACGAGCAGAAGCATTAATCATAAACTGACTTCATCTCAAAGCTGCACTCAGTTTAGAGAGTTTCCTGCACAAAGTATCATCTTGTTTGAAAGTAGTTGTAAAAAAATTATAAATACTTTTTCTGATTTTGAAAAGATGTATAAATTGCATTTTAATATGGTCTTGATATCTTCTTCGGTATATAAAATTTGAGCCATAGTTCTTAGTTGAGTTATTTTTAGATTTTGTTGTATCAGGCAATCTCCCTCTTCATAGATTCAAAGAAATACAATTGAGCATTAATTTGCCAATAACTGAGTTACTAAAACTAAAACAGCCTACAAGACAGCTCTGGTCGGTATGAGGTCAGCTCACACGAACGGATGGTACCTTCCCACAAAAAAAAGCTAAAAAAATGGAAACCAAACAGTTCTATTGCTGATCGAGACATTCATATTCAATTCTGCCGAAATAACTAATAAGAAAGATGCGGTTGTCATACATATCTGATAGTAACTCGAAGCACAATTTCTAATGAGGTTTTTCGCTAACCTGGCTAGTAGTGGTTAATACATCAAGTCTTATGCAAGCCAGAAAAAGTTTATTAAATTGGAAAACAAACTTGTATGAAGACTGATTTTTCACTGATAAATTTTAGAGTTCTATCGCAGAGCTGAGAGAAATCACACATCAGTGAAAGACTGCATCTTTTGTTCGACAATTTCGGGTTTCTTTCGGGAAACCTTTAATCTTCAAATATGAAAAACTGATTGAAACAAGTGCTTTAATTTCTACTGGCAAAATTTAATCTTACGTGGGATGTTTAGTTTGCATTTCAGTGTTGTTAGTTAAAAGAGTTTAAATCGACCGTAAAAATCATATCCTTCTGTTGACACTAAACTCATTATTAACTCGAAGTAATGACGTGTAGGTATTCAAAAACTAGTGATGCGTGAAGTCGCTATCCGAGAGTAACCAGTCGCGATTGGACATTACCCGTAACTGGATTCAAAAAGGATTGATTCGATCAAGAGCAAGGTCATTAAATTATAATCATCCATCTGACTACGTCATGATGAGATGTTTTCAGTACAAGGATGCGCAACGGAAACTATGAAAAAAGGAGAAACGAAAGGAAATTCTTAAAAACTGAACAAAAGATTGATTTTATATACCGGAAGTATCGGAAACAACAAGTAAACGGAAACTGCGGTGCTTAAAGAAAATTTGAACTTTGAAGTTTTTGGAAGCCTTCATCAAAGTTTTTTATTTTTTTTCCTACATCTGTGTGTTCAACGTGCTGACTGAGTGACTAACTGTTATTTCCACCACGTTTTTCTCCTGAAGGTAGCTCCTGTAGTCCTCTCGTGGTTGGCCAAGGTGTAATTGTGCAAGAGAGTTGCACGAAAGCGCCAAGCCCTCGCGGAACCGTTTGTGACTTGGCATGTCCGAACGGCATGAAATTAATGGGACCCCCATTTCAGCAGTGTGGAAATGAGGGGATCTGGACTCCACCCACTGGTTCCATCCGTTGTGGAGGTAAGGTGCTGTGGTGACTTTATGAAGAAGCAAGTCGGCGTTGTCTTTAGTTATTATCTGAAGATGGTTTATATACTATCAAAACTGTGAAAAAAAATTTAAACTTCATATTTCTAATTTACAAGAGCATTCATTTGGTAGAAATTTGTACCTATTCATTTATCAATTATTTACTTAATTTTAGATATTAATGAATGTGAATACGATAAAGGAGGCTGCAGTCATGAATGTGTAAATGATGTGGGTAGTTTCCACTGCATCTGCCCTCATCCGCTGGTTCTATCTGATGATAAACTCAATTGTAGAGGTAAGTGATTAAGAGCTGTTGTTACAATGTTGCCTGAGTGTTCCCTTTGGTGTCAAGTTGTTCTTTGAGAACTCTTTAAATTTCCACTGAAGGGTCTCTTTGACGGGGAGCAGTGAGTGATCGTGATGTGATTATGATGTCAAGTTCTTCGAAGATCAATGGGAAGGTTGACCCTGTCGACACACCCTCCGGTGACTGTTCAAACCAATCCATGCTCTACACCGCTCTGCCACACCTTGGGTATTGGTATCCCTGAGTAGGGAATACAGATACCAGGAAACCTGCCTATTTAGTTGCGATAACCACAAAAGCTTGAGAAAGCTCGGACCTAAGATCGTGGGCTCTGAGTGACAGTACAAAACACCCAAAGAATAATATACTATTCTAATTAAGATACCGATAGAGCAACTCATGAATAGAAGACCTTTTTATGTTTACAGACTAGACTTGCCTGATGACAAGAGAAAAATAGGGAATCTGCCAGGCTTTCATGGTTAACCATAGCGTGTAATGTGGAGATATCTCGATTTGGAAAGCTCGTAATTAACAGAGAAGGAATTTAACTGAAAATATCGTTCAAAGAGGTTATCACGCAAATTCATTTGATGAGTTGTCAATTTTAATTGGTGACTTAACCGGGCCACTGAGTCGAAGAGAAAATGGGTTGGCTGAAAGTGGGCTGTTACCAGGTACAAATATCACCAGAAAAATCAGGCAAACTGTTTTACCACCAATAAAGTGTGCAACGTAAGGTGGCCCTGGATGCAAGTGCTCTGTACAAGACTATCCAGAACAGTTATATTCTTATCACAAACTTTTGTTGTTTTCCAGCTCCTGGTCTGCTCCTAAACTGCAGCACACATGCTATCGAGGTCACGGTCCCTAAAACAGCTTTGCGCGACCTGCAAGGAGACTTCCTTAGCCTCCTGGACCCATCATGTCCCGTAATTGAGACACCCACACATTACATCTTCAAGACTGGATTGGACAAGTGTGGCACCAAGAGACGCAGTACTATGGACTTCATCGTCTATAGCAACAAAATCGTGGAGAAGAAGGCTGCTCCTGGAAGCATCATTACGCGGGTTGGAGAGGATGAATTTGACATCCCATTTTGCTGTTATTACTTGAACAACGGTATCACCTCAGCGGTTGGAATCAAACCAGTGGTGAAGCAGCTGTACATCGAGGAAGAAGGGTGAGACCACGAGAGAAGTATCAAAGCAGATGCAATGATTTTTTCGTTGCTATGCAAGATAGTTAACAGAAAAGTAGAAACGGTTTCTCAGGTACACTGCCGATTTTGCACTTTCTTTCTTCTCTGACCAGAGAATGAGCGATCCAAACTTCTGCATCCTGCTGCACTGCATTTTTGAAAAAGCAAAGATAATATTTATAGAAGTAGTATTTCCTTCCTTAAACATTTGATTCCAATAAATGGTTATGTATAATTTTTCCTTCCAATTTCAGTACGTTAATAACCAGGGAGATGATAAAAAAAATCGAGAACTCTATCAGCTGGAAGGTGCCATTTTGATTTAACACCAAATAATCTAATTAGAGAGAGTTTTAACAGAGGGTTAAAATCAGCGAAAGTATTATCTTTCAGTCCCAAAATTAATCGGTTAACTTCCCTTTCCATAGGTATGGCCGTTTTTCAATCCGCATGGATTTCTACCATGGCGAAGATTACCAAGACGTGCATTCGTGGAGTGACTTTCCAGTGGAGGTACCATTCCGTGAACGACTGTACTTTGAATTGTCCATTGCTACTTTGGACCAAAGTCTCGAGATTATGGCGGGAAATTGCTGTTCCACACCTACCGCTGACCACAAAAAAGTGGACAGGTTCAGGCATGAACTTATTCACGAAGGGTAGGTTCAGTTTGACAACAGCTCAAATGAATAAAAAATGAATAAAAGAATAAAATTTCCGTTGCTTGTTCTGTGCTCTATTACATTTTCGTCAGTATCTGTTGAGCATAAGTCTCATTCAGTAATGTATTCATTCGGCGGCCTTTCTTAGTTATAATAATTCATTGGAATATTTATCTGGGAAGTATTGCAAATCAACGATAATTACTTTTTTTTGTCTTTTTTTATTGAGGTATCTAACCCGTTCGACCGCCATTCAATTAATGATATTTTCGTTTCGTCGTTTCCCCTTAAAATTCTTTGATCGCTGACAAAGTATTCTAGTAAACCGCGGCTTCGTCATTTCTGTAGCTTTCATTGCGTCTAACTCTTTTATTTCTTCACTTTTTCTTCATTTGATACTCTCAGGAGACGATGTAATTATTTGCCGTATATTTCAGTCCTAATCCACCGTTCTAATCCAATCTTACTACTCCAGGTGCCCGGTCGATGATACAGTAAAGATGGAAGATTCACCTTCTCGACAGAAGAAACGCTTCAGCGTCGAAGCCTTCAAGTTTGTGGGTGATTTCCCCTTCGTATACCTCCACTGCAGTGTGGTGGTTTGTAGAGCAAATGATTCCGACTCACGCTGTTCCAAAGGGTGTGTCCCAGGCCTGCACGTGAATCCGCCATGGGACGTCATGGAGAAGCTGAAAAAGAAAGAGGAAGCGGAGCACCGAGCCAAGCGAGCCCTAGACTATAAGGACCCCAACTATTTAATCTCAAAGGGGCCCTTTTCTTTAAACGAGGAAAGTTTAAACGATGAACCTGTGATTGATCTGAAAGGACCTCAACGGGATCAGTCTAAATTGGAGGAAGATGAACAAGGAAAAGACGAAGAAAAGAAAGGCAAGTGTTAAGAACTGCTGCAATTAAAGCTTTGTTAACGCTGTTGTCGTTGACTCCGCCGGTTTTTTTAAATTTCCTTGTCCTGAGTTACACCTCGTAATACCAGACATTTGAACAGAGAAGTGTAGTCCCCAATTAACAGTGAAAATTAACAGTTTGAGACGCGAGATGAAATTCTAGGGTTAACGTTCGTGATAAAATCTCTGATCTAGTGGTCATTTACACGCGTATCATTGCGCAGAGTGGCAAGTTGGCTAAAAACTCACTTTCGGTGGCTCAGCTTCTTATACCCTGCCAGTTTGCTGTTTGAATCCCCGGGGAAAAAGGCGAGATTTAATGGTCTTTAATTCAAAGTGGCAATAACAGCATGATCATTAACTACGTGTTTTTGCATTTTAGGGTGGAACCCACACGTGACAAACGGTCTAATGATTGTAATTGCTGCAGCAAGTGTCCTCGCTCTCGTGGGTGTCATCCACGTCACACGCGTGATGAAACGCGGCCGCAATTACAAGGTGGTCGATCAGTTTTGAACAATGGGACCTTTTACGTACTTTTTTCTCGAAATTGCTCTCCAGAAGGTTCAAGTTGTGTGTATTACGCAACCCGTGCCAGCTGAAAAGAGGATCTTTTCCTTGAAAGTCATCCTGTTTATTTTCTCAATATATTCATAACTGAATGTAAAAGTAAAAGAAAAAAAGAAAAGTCTAAAAGTTTTATGCAAAAAACAACCAACTTGAAGTTTGATGATCTAAATGCTGCCTTTCCTTAACAAATAGTAGAACAAAAAGCAGAACTAGCGTTTTACTGTTCATTCTTTTGAACAACTCTTTTACTTCGTTCCTTATTGCGGAAAGGAAATCCTAAACATTAAATACGAATAACAAATTCATTTTTAATCTTTACGGCGGTTTCTTTTATGTAAGTTCTATTTTTTATATACTAAATATCAAACCATTCATTTAAATGAAAGTTACTTTTGTTAAAAAAGAGTTAAGCAGCAATTTTTAGATCAAAATTGATTTTGAATCCATAGCTCCTTAGAGGTATATTCCTTTTAGAATGTGCTAATGTTACTTAAGGTAGATTAATAAATGATTCTGTAGAGCAAAGAGAATAAAATAACTTCGAAAGTTAACTACTGTCAATTTTGTTTGCTTTGTTTTGTTTTGTTTTGTTTTGTTTTAAATACAATATCGAATCATGAGTATTTCTTTCATTTTCAAGTACCGAAACCTCCTTACGAACAGTCTGAATCAAATAACAAAACACGCCGCGGAAAAATTTTTAACTTTCGTACAGAAGAGCCGAGAAATACTTGAATACAAATGCCATTTATTAAACAGAACAGACATAAAGGATAGGAAATATTTTTTTCAGCCTCGATGAACATGTGTTCCGAGATTGTGCACCAACAGCTAGAACAAAATGGATGAGTTTGGTCCTTAATTATAAAGCGATTCTACGAATTAGCTTTCAGAATTAAGGACTCCTTGGAGCCAGATAGCTCCCGGAATTTCCTATAACTTGTCTTCCAAAATTTATTGCTGCAACAATTGATGCAGGCAATAAAATTAAGTTTTAATTTCTCTCTGACTGCAGTAACTCTGTAATATGCAGTGTAGTGAAATCTGCGGAAAATTACAGTAGATACTGCTCATGTAGCAAGGCTTCTAGATCAGGTGGAAGCCTAACCTTCCAATCTCATCGGAACACCGAGATGAAGGCCTGAAAGGAAAAAAAAAGCCTCGGATAGGCCAATAACACATCACAGCCGCACATAATCCCAGTTTATTTGAAATGAAAAGACTAACTACGGTACCGTTTCACCTTAGCAATTCGTCGGGCTTACATGACATCAGGCTGGTATCCATTCTCACCACCATGCTTGCCACGGCAAAAACGAAAGTGAGGACACTGGACCCCAGCCGTGCAATCCGGATTTGTGATGACGTTAATGTAACTCAATCTTCTATCTTTGTTTTAAATCTAGATCATCATTATTTAAATTAAAAACAGGCGAGGCGGATTGCGCCTTTTTAAATTCCGTGTCAATTTATTAGCTATTCACTTAAATCCATCAATTTCTTAAATGCATTCTTTTACGTGGTTTTTAAACCCAGAATAATTCAAAGGCTTTATTTGAGCAAACACTGCGAGCAAAACATTTCCCATAAAAAAAAAAACCTCCATTAGCTTTCTTTATTTCCATGAAAAAAAATTCGAGTCTTTGTGATGGGTTTCTCTACATAAGCAAGAATTTCTCAAGGCAGATAAGGACGCAATAGGGTTTTTTCAAAAAATCCATCGTGATTGCTTAAGCATTTGCTCGTCGATTAACTTGCCTTCCGAGGAATTTTTATTATCCTGGGATTTAAACGTGTTTACACTGCCATGGCGTGTACCTCTTTTAGTTTGTTTATTGTGCCTAAACAATTTAAGCTTACAGAAATTTCGGCTCCTTACCTATCTTGTTTTTTTAGTGTTTCGTGGGAGGCGATTGTTATGTTAATTTAGAGCTCATTGTAATCTCGTCTTGAAATTCTTTTTAAGTCCAAAATTTTGTTGACTTTAGTTAGGTTTTGCTGGGTGTGGGAAAGAAAAACCTTTCCCTCTACCAATCTAGCAAAAATGTACCGTTACCTACTACTAATATGTCTTGCATTGTTGGACGATGTTACAGCTAAAATACGTAAGTGGAATATTCTTCCAGTTTTACAGATTAATCTACGATTTGAGAAGCAATCGTTAGTCAAAACATCGTATATCATTTCCGATGTTAATGCGAGTTTATGAATGAACTTTCTTTTGCAATTCAAGAAAAGTTTTTTTCGCTGAGGCAATTCTATAAAAGCCATCTGTGGACTACTAGCATCAAAGCATAATTTACAACAAGTTAAATAAGAAAGTTAAGAACCTTCCTAATAGGAACTTGGGTCTTTTTAACGGGTATTTAAACTGTGGTTACAAAGGTCGCTTAAATATAACCCAAAAAATTACAGCCAGAAAAAAATAACTATTGTTGCAGCTCGTTCTTTTTCATCTCTTCAAAAAGGTTAACTGACTTTATTTCTATGATTTTTTCAATGCAATCCTTTGGTTTCATCAATATGTGAACATGTACTCTTACAGTTTTAATTATGCAGTATAAATTCTCATGTACCTGCAAAGTACAAAGCCTAGTTTAATGATAAAAGAACATAAGTTGTGACTCTCTTGAATCTGAAATAGTTTGATAAATCTGAGATATAGCTAGAATGGCAAGACTTCTTATATGCTCATCTAGAATAAGTTGTCACAATTCACCTTGCCGGTTTCCGAAAATGTTTACTCAGTTACTGAAATATGTAGCTTTGACATGATATATTTTTCTGTATTTTCGTTCTGAAGCATGCAAGTCTCTTTGCGCGAAATATTTTTGAATGAAACTGCTAGAAATGACGACTTTCCTTCAGATGCGGTTTTTATCAGCAAACAAATTTGAAATCCACTGAAATGATAAACTTCGTTTAAAGTGTCATAAGAAAAAAAAGGAGAAGCACACTATACATTTTAATGACATGAAACATTCCTTACGCAATAAACTTTATAATTGATCACATTTCTGGAAACAAATCTGTTATGTACAAGCTAGCTTATAATTTTCATCCCTTCATGTGCACCGTAGCTAAGAGCAGATATGTAGACTATAACGATTCAAAATCGATTCAGTTCGCCAAAAATATTTTTTTACCTCATAAAAATTCATTAGGCCATGTTATGGAAAACATTGACTCGTTGTAATGATATATTTTCCCGACTTTTCTATGGCTAGGTAGATTAATATTAAAACAAATTCGCGCAAAGGTTTACCAGCAAAATTACGACTTAATTTCTTACATTCCCCCGATGCATTAACTTTTAATAACTTTCCAACTTCAGCCCATTTGGTTTGCCTGTTAATCAAAACCTTTAACTGCAATTGGACATAAATTAAGATTTTCTTACACTAGCATTAGCTTTCATTGTAGATATCTATTATTACTAGCGGCATTGGAGTCTCATGTCGCTTGAGCCTTGGACTTTTTGAAACGATTTACGATTTCAGTTATAAGCTGAGAAATAATTGTTTACAAAGTGCTATTATTCCACCGCCTACTCAACACATTCATGTCGGAACATGGAGTGAGCATCGAACTCGAAAATGGGAACTGCATCTTGAGATAATTTCATGAATAAGATACTAAAAACTCTAAGGAAACGGCCAGATATTGAAGTGAAAATGCTTATCATTTGACAAAAGGGAAATAAGGTTTTTTTTGCGGGATTATATCTTGTCATTTAGCATCTTTAATTCAATATTGTGAGGTCAGAGGTTTTTTGACACCCCGTGCTTAAACATTTTATGATCAATAGCAAACTTCTCCTTGCAGAATTCCACTTTACAGCTGTATGTTGACACAATACACAATGACCTCTTAGTGTCTGTGGATACATGAATACATAGCCTTGAGAGAACTAGAGCTACCAAAAATAAGAGGTAGTAACACAGAGAAAGTGACTCAAGGAGTCGTTCTGGCCCAGTTTTTATCACTCACTAATCTATAGCTGTTCTAGGCTCCCAGCTGGTTAAGTCGAGTGAAAGAGCTGTCGCGTAATAAACAGCGGTCATGGTTGTAAAGGAAATGGCTGCACCATGTTTGGCACCTGCATTTTCATTTGTTCCCACCATGTAAAAGTCAGGGCGAAGCATATACTAAACTCAAAAAGGAATAAAGTCAGTCGGGAAGTAACATTGAAGGAGGAAAATTTATCCCATCTTTAACGAGTTTTACTCTAAGCTTCAGCCCATTGAGTGTGGTCTAAGGAAACATTTAGCCTTCTTAGATAGTGAAATAGAAATTTGAGAAAAAAAATTTATTTTCAGCTGCGGCACCTGGTGAGAAAAAGTGTCCGGCCCTTAATGTCGGAGCCCATGTGATAACCGATCATTCCTGCACTAGTGGCCCTAGTGACGTCGATACAGTTTGTTCATTTGAGTGTCCCAAGGGATATAAGCGAAATGGTCCGGGACATAAACGTTGCCAGTTGGACGGCTCTTGGACAAATGGTGATGATCCTGTCAAATGCGATGGTAAGTTTTCACATATCTTATAAATTCGTTGAAGGCGAAATTTTCAATCGAGCGTCCAAGGTAATCGGTGGTTGTATTTTTTTAGCGTCACGACAACTTGACAACGCGACCAATCTGATGGAAAAGTGATTCACCAAACAATGACGTTTTCCCGCGGAAGAACCGGTTGCATGAAACGTAGTTTCTTTACGTATTTTTTTGGCTGCTTGCGATGTGAACGCGATACAAGTCAATTTTCTTGAGCGTGTAAAGACCTCGTTTGGTTTTGAAAGTTTGAAAGGTGCTTAGAAGAAGCAAAACAATTCGACCCTGTCATCTCGAGAGTCACCTAAAAAAAACATTGACCGCAGCATCAACATTCAAAATAGTAAATTTAAAAGCACGATAGGCACCATGCTTTGTATAAAATTATCCAGTTCGACAACTTTTGTCAGCTGTAGTGACAACAGCGTGATTAGTTTGATGTGGTATTCATCAAGGAACGAAAGATTTGGTGTATCTCTGCGATAAACGTATCTTAATTAAAAGATTACGATTTCTACTTTCTCCTTAAAGTACTTTCATTTTATAATCTATGCGTTTTTTCACCAGATGTGAATGAATGTGATACCGCCAATGGCTTCTGCAGTCACCTCTGCGTGAATAAACCTGGAAGTTACAAGTGCAAGTGTCCTCCTCCACTTATATTAGATCCAAAAAATCAGAGGAAATGCAAAGGTACGCTGCGTGCGTAGTTTCCTGAAGCATTTAACACAAACACTCAACCAACGACGTCTTGCCAACTAGCAAGACCTACAGTTTATCGAAAGGAACTTTCACGCATGTCATCGCAAGAGACGTAGATGGTGTCAATAGGACCCATGTCTTAGATATTTTATGTCCTCGATCAGTATTTTGAGTCGAACGGGATGTATGAAAAAATTTGAAGACGCATACAAGTACTGCGGCTTTTGCGGCAGTTCTGCTAGATTTTGATGCTTCGTGCACCTTATTTTAAGAGCAGAAAGATTGTTCTCACATCTGAGCACATGAAAGGTTGAGGATTTCCATTGTGTTTTAAAGTCGGAAATTACCACTTGATTTTCCCTTAAAGTATAGTTCCCCAATCGGGATTTGTTGATCAGCAACTGCATGTGTCCGAATTATTATACAACCTGGGAAATTGACTTTGGTAACCTTTTTCCCAAAAGGATAGCAACAATATATGAACAATGTACTTATCTTTGGTGTACATATCCTTGCAGGTCCTGGTGTTCAACTTACTTGTGATACAAATCACATGGAGATCGTTCTACCCAAAAACCTCATCCACAACCTGCATCACGAGCACCTGAGTCTCATCGACCCAAACTGTCGAGCAAATGGTAACGCCACACACTACAGCTTGTCAACAGACATCACAAAATGTGGAACCACTTCCCACGTGTACAAAAACTTCATCGTGTACACCAACAGGGTGATCGAATCTCCTAACGAAGACTCGGACGTCATAACCCACGTAGGTGTAAACGAAATCAAAGTTCCATTCAGTTGCTACTTCAACGACCTGGAAATTGTCCATACCGTCGGATACAAACCGGTAGCACAGAAAATCCACGTGTACGTTAAAGGACGCGGTGAATACGCTTTGAGTCTGGACATATTTAAGGATGAGAATTACGGAGAAGGATCTCGGGCTTTGGCGCCATCGTCGGCGAAGTACACACAGGACGACTTCCCCATCGAAGTTCATCTCCGTGAGCGAGTTTTCGTGCAGGCATCGTTGGACACTCGCGAGAAGGATCTAAAGATATTTGCATCTAACTGCTGCTCGACACCAATGCAAGATCACGAGGCTACTATGAAATTCAGGCACGCGTTGATTGTGGAAGGGTAAGAAAAATTTTCTCATTTCGTTTTCCAGTATGGAGGCCTAAAGGTTAACGAACCTATTTACAATGTAGAAATATTAAAGTCAATCCAAACAGATCAGATCATGAACAAATTTCGTACTGCTCCATCGCACTTGATCTTTCAAAACTGTGCCACCGTCAATTAAGTATGGTAGCAGCCTTAAGAATACAACTGACCCGACTTCACAGAAATTTTGCACTTTCTAGCAAAAAAAAAATATTGGTAAAAAACAGAAGAGTTTTATGATAAACTTGCTTCGACATCACCGCATTGATAGAATTGATCTCAAGATACATATAATGCATTTTAGTTCCAGACAAGTACAAGAAGGATAGATCAGAAAGAAAAGTTAGTGTTCTCATAAATTTTTCTTTCTCTCCAGTTGTCCCAGGGACCCTACAGTTCAATTCCATTCCTCCTCTGACCCGACGAAATTTCGGTTCAGTTTCGAAGCATTCCAGTTTCTTGGTAACCACGATTACGTCTTTATACATTGCCGTGTCCATGTGTGCGATGTTAACGATAACAAGTCCCGCTGTGCGAAGGGATGCCTGCCAGAATTCGGTAAGCCACCGGTGCAAGATCATCCTGGGAAGATTAAAAAAGCTCAGACTCCAGAAAAACGTGCGAAGCCGGTAGCTCAGCCGAACGGAAAGAGCGTCAAGAAGGTGGTGGCCTCAGGTACCAGCAAGAAAGCAGAGGTTCGCTCGGCGAGCAAGAAGAGCGCCGTGAAAGCTCCAGCTAAAGTCTTAGTAAAAGCACCTTCGATAACCAAGAAGGTTCAAGATCAACCGAAGGTACCAAAGAAGACAGATGCCGAGATTGAATTACGCCATCTCATGAAACGTGCTGCTGCTACGCGTTTTCAAAAGAGAGGGGTGTTGGGTTCTACTGACTTAACCTCCATAGGTCCAGTCTTACTCGAACATGCTAAAAGAAATGGCAAGAGAGAGCCAAGGCCTAAGAAAGTGTTCGCCGATGCGAAAGGGATTGGTATGAACCATGATGTGAAGCCAAAAAACAAACGTAAGTTGCTAATACCTTTAATTTAAAGCTTTAGAAATGTGGGTAAAAGAGATCGGAATCAAAGCTCTTTCACTTAATGAGATCAGAAGATTTAAAAACTTCTGACCGGACCAGCACCGATTAAAATTATCGCTACTCGTGAAGAGACAAGTACGTAAAGGAATCAGAAAAGGGTGCAAGAACAAACTCAATGCGTAAAAAAGAGATAATCCATCTTTGTTTTATTCTTATTGAGAGAAAGGCAAATTTCGACCTGGTTCTGTGGTCTGATGAACGAGTTTCGCGCCAGGCACACAGGCCCTCTCTCCCCTCTCCCACTCTTTTTTACCCATGACATACGAAATCATTGTCGTTTTCATTATTTTAACTTTTATGAGATGAAAATTCTCGATAATTCAGTTGTGGTACAAACTACCCCCTCGAAGTCTAAACAATCCTGGTAAAGCTTGCAGCTTTTTCTTCCCAACGATATGAGTGGAAGAATAATGACGGGGAGTTGACGCCCACATATGCTGAACTCGAAGTAGCAGTCAGCGAGCATAGGGCTTCAAATAATAATTTTCATTTTCATTGGATTTTCTTGTTTCAGGTACGTCTGTGGCTCCTAGTGCAACAAACATTGTTCTAGTGGTGCTAACAGTAGCTTCCATCATGGCGCTGGTTGGAGTAGCATATCTTGGTCGCAAAGCGACAAAGATTGTGAACAATCCTTACAATTACGACTCTTTAGCAGTCTATCAGTAAACTTCATCAGTCGTTAATACTACATCCTGTTTGTCCTTTGTGATATAAAATTGGTTTTAGCAACCTTCAATCTCTACAACGCTTGAAAATAGTAGAATTTAGTATTATCTTGGCCCTTCCGCATGTAACTTTTAAGAGGTTCCACAAGGGAAAAACTTCTCGAGCAATTCACTGAGAGGTGGCTCATTTCACACTTTTTCAAAAGCATTATGATGGCAGAAAACTGGGTCAATTTTTCTAGTTCTGTTTTTCTTATATCTTTTCTGTTTAATCTCTTTCTGCTTCTATCTGTTTCAAAAATGTTTACTCTTGGTAATAAAGACATTCTTAAATACACAAACTTGTCGAGAGCAAACATATGCATTTAGACTGCAAGCTGCCCCTCCCTTTCGGCGAAGTCCGTTGTGCAAGCGCCTCACTTCTGGAGCTCCCCGCAGCCCACTAATATCAATATTTTTTTCATTAAATATTTTTTTGATTTGAGCGACGGACTTTGTTGCAAAGGAGAGACTGCTCGTAGTCCAATAACCATTCGAAATACACTTAAAAAAACTGTTTTATCGATGTTTTTATAAAAAAAAAATCGTGTGTGGGCAAGTTAGGTAGTCCTCTTAAAAAGTTAGAGCCGCAGAGAACTAATAATTATTCTTTTATCTTTCCAGTAAACGTACAGGAATCTGATACAACTTGACTAATTTGTCTTGCTTTTAACGAACCTAATATACATTGCAGTACTGAATGGAAATAAGAAAACTTAATCATGTCGGAAGCCTGTGCCAAATTACATCTCTAAGGGTCATCAATTTGTCCGAAAATGTCCGCAGGGGGGTCTGGGAACGATAGTGAAGGCCAGATCCCGCTCGTTCCGCAGCGCTAATAATGAGTGCCTGTGCGCAAGCTAGAGTTATTCTTGATTGGGCGATTACAACTTCGGGAGCTGGGGTGGAGATCATCCAAAAACAGACTATACGTCAATAATACGGTTAACTTGATCGCATTTCACGAACCGGCCGTAATGTCTTTTCAATTAAGTTTAATGGCGGAAAGTCACCTCCTCTTTTTCCCGAGTTTCACTTTCCCAGCTGTACCTTTCTTCCTCTTTCCGGATACAATAAGATGCTTTCTTTTTGCTGAGCCCTGAAAGAAAACGTAATGAAACTTAAAATTCTCGGTTGAAAATCGAGTATCGAGTAGCAGACCGAACACCAGACGCGACTACGTACGTGAAACTCTCCGTGATCCAAGACTGTCTTCCTCCTAACTTTTAAGCATTACCTTGACGTAAAGTGACAGGTAGTTGTCAAAATGAAACTGTCCATTTTTTTTTTAAGTCAATAGACTGATAAGAAGTTCCTATGAAATAAATGTACAACACGCCAGTGATTTTAAAACCTTTCATAAAATCACCCCCTCCGCTCGCTTTGCTGACGCCAGCTTTTTCTCTACCAGAAATATATACCTCTAACACACCTCTAATGTTTCCTTGGCATGATCATCCTCAACCGCACCTTCATCATCGCTGATGTGATTTCCATTAACATGAGGTTCAGAAGCCACTCCCATCTTTTTCTTCTTTGTAGAATTCGTTTTAAGCTCAGTCATCGAGGAATCTAATTTCTTGGTGATGTTAAGATCGTCGTTTAACCTTTTCGCTTTTATCCTCTTCTGTTTTGTTTTTGATGCAGACCTTGGGGAAGAGCTTGACATCAAACGTGGAGAAAAATGGTTTAACACGTCACAAACAGTGTCCAATGTGACGCTTTTGCCATCTGGTCCTTGAATTTGCAAATCCGGCATGTTTCTAGAAACAGTTGAAGAAAATTAAACCCCTATCGTTGTGAATTAGAATGGGAAATATTGCTACATGTACAGTTTCATCTAGCCTCGTCACAATGTGTCCTCTCTTGCATTTCTGTCTGGAAAAAGTCTGGAGAGGTACAGAAGATACAACTGCTATGTTAATCATTCAGTACAATGCCTACTTTGTTAGCACATGGAGAGAGTGAACAACAGATACAGCTTGTTGAAGTAACATGATGTCGTCTTCTCCTGACTGAGATGTGTGTCCATTTATTTGACTGAAGTGGGAGGCCAAAGAATACAGCTGGAGAGGAAGTGGAAAAATAAACAGGAAACATTTGTGTTTAAAGTAATTGGTCTTGAAAACTTATGTACACAGGGCGCTTATCAGATGGAGGGCGCTTAAGGGAGGGAGAACATTTTAAAGAATTTATTGACCTGCACTTATTCTACTGTGTTTTAAGCTCAAAAACTTTTAAGAATAAGTTTTCCTCTTAACCTAATTTTATGAAAGTGAAGAAGAAGGGAGGAGGGCACTCTTTCAAGAGGTCAAGAAAGGCACTTGGTTTGATATTATGACCAAGAGGGGTGGGGGTGGGTGCTTGTTAGAGTGTGGGAGCTTATTAGGGCATGGCTGCTTTATTCAAGGAAATAAAATTGTCAAACTATGACAGTTTCAACTTTTCATTAATTGAAGATGATATTTTAGATGCTTGAAATCTTATCTTGTATTTCCTCCTTTAATTTCCCGCTTGCTGCTTTCCTTATCACAATGATAAAGTTTAAATTTGCTACCATTTCGGGAGATGGGTATTAATAAGGTGACATAAATTTGAGAGTTATCTCGCTACACCATACAATTCTGTGGCTTCTACTCAGAAATCTCTGACTAAATCTAGATGATCTGAGTACTATTTTTTTCAGACATGGGGAATATTTCCTGTGAAGTATTGGAATTCTCCTGCTATATCTACTAATGAAAACCCTAAGGGCCTGTTATTTAAACAAAGTTTAACTGTCATGTAACTAAACTGCTTTCTAAACTATCTGGAATTAAGCTGAGTCTTTTATCTGAGCATTTATTATTGCAAACAGTTTCAAGAGGGCCGAAAGCTAATAGTGGAAGGGCATTCATTTCATTAAAACAACCCTCTTACAGAGAATATGTAAGGCCCTCTACTTGCGTAAAACTGTGGTTTGGGTTAGACCTTGTGCAAAGAACAAGCCCTTAGGGTCTATCATTGACTGAAGTATTCCAAGCACAGGCAGGAAAATTCAAGCCAACATACCTTTGCACTGTCTGAAGAGTTATCTGAAGACAACAGGAAATTCAGTAGCTTTGCAAGGTTCAACAGCAAATGACAATCTTGACAACAAAACTACAATGTTAAACGAAAGCAATTCAAGGATTGTCTGAGAATATTATAGTCTACTTTGGAATACTGGTAAGAACATGTGATTTCAAGTGTGGATCATTTTGATGAAAGGAACAAAGTAAGGAGTTTAGACCAGAAGGCTTTTTTCCAAAGGTGATAAGCATTCCATATTTTAACAGCTCTGACAGCCTACCTAGATACCTAGTGCTCCCACAAAGGGCAAAGACTTAGCAAGCCAACCAAGCAAACAAAGCCAAACTTTCATTGAAACTATTGTCTCCATGTAAAAAATTAAAATGATATTACATTGGAAAGAATAGTCTCTTTCCCCCAGACCATGGACTCTGTCATGCCCAACAAAAAGGAACTTTGCAAAAGTCTACATTCACAACAACTCCCACTGGTAATTTCTCAAATTTCTCTGACACTGCCTCTTCTACCCAGTGATGCTCCTATGTGTAAACTAAGATGAACAGTGTAACATCGTGTCACTCTAGAACATCACACATTTACTCTGAGAAAGGCTTTAAAACTTAAGTGTCTTCTATCCAAAGAAATGACAAATGACAATGTTAATGTAAAGGCTGCCACCACAGATGAAGAATAAGCACGATTACCAGTCAAGTCTTATGATGGAGAAATGTTTGCAATCCATATTCCCTCCTACAGGAGAAACAAAATCTATTAAAGTTTCAAAACTAACCTCTGCCCCTTTAATCTTCAGAATCCTTTTAGTCCAATCTATATGCCAAGTTAGTATTCTTTCCACAGTTTTCTGACAAATTAAAAAGATGCATATTATACAATTTCAATGCATTAATCCTTTTTTCTTCCCAACCAAAGAGTACCTGACTTTTTGGGTTGTGGAGCAATAAATATTACTCACCACAGAATCCTGTGGGATGTCCAAAGTCTCACTGTCCTTGGAAACTACTTTGCCACACCATTTACAATGGATCTTCAAACATATAAAATGTATATTATTTCTCATACCACTCCCACTCATTAACAAAACTTCAGTCTGTTACACTACTAATAATATACATGAAAAATTCATGCAGTTCTGATTGGCTGAAAAGGAGTGCATTTTTCATGTAACATGATTGCAAAGTTATTACACATGTGCAAAGTTGTAGCCAGTGGACTTTTTTAGCTATGTGATCACGTGGTTTGAAATGGGTAAACAGAAATCAAAATGGCTGCTCGAGTACATTGCATGTCTCACAAACGACATCTTATGGATGAGATGCGTTCTTTTCTTTACGGAATTTTCACATTCACAGATAAATCAGGACTCATAAGACAATAGTAATATACAAATAAGCAACAATTGATATGGAGTCTTGAAATGTTAAGCAGCCTCAAGCTGGGAAAACAAACAATAAGCACACGATAATTAAAGAACACAAAAATACATGAAACAGGCACAAAAGTGCGTAGCAGATGAATATTTATTTTTGCTTCAAAAATGACGTCGACACAGTCGTGATCTTACGGATGTTAGATGTATCTCACTTTTATGTATCCATAAAGTTAGAAAGGACAACTACGAATTTCCTAGTTTAACTAAAAACTTTAATCATACCTCTAATTCCGCCCTGCTTTCACGAGGATCGTTCAAACCAGACTGAAGAGCTTGTAAGACCTTCGAAATAATCTTTTATTAGTTGTAGCAAAACGGTGAATTTACAAGCTCACATTTAAACCTGAAGGTATGAAGCCCTCTTTAGAGTAAATTTTGAACTAATGATACAACCTTTTTCGCGTCATGCATTCCAGGTAAAATCTGCGGTGATAAATTCGAAAAGGACTTTGTCATAGTCTCAACTAAGGGTTCCCATGCGTTTTCGTCAGCCATCTTGAAATTCTTCCTCGAAATGGAAAACATGACGTATCTACCTTACTACTCCACATAACCGCTGAGCACTACTAAGCTTACCACGTGCAGATTTTCAAAATGGTGCCCGAGGAAGACGAAATATCTGAACGGTTTGGATCGGTTCGCCTAGTTGGGGGTGAATCTCTGGTATCTCACCGAACAGTGTTCAGCAGAGACTCCAAGTATGTTATCAATCGCGTCATTTCGTGTCGTAAATCGCAAAGTTCATTTAAGTCGTGGCGTCGAAGTCCTGATTGTTTGTTAATGTCCACAGGATCTTATTTTGCTCTTGCGGCCGGAAAATACGTGTGTACAGCACGTTAACGGGAGATTTATTGCGAGAACTCCAAGGACACGAAGGAAAAGTTACAGACTTTAAAATCAACCCTAAAAATCACTTACAGGTTCGTACAGATGGCGAGTTAGATTGTGGAGGATTTTTAAATCGCGAGCTCTGTGCAGTGCATTGAATTAATTTCAAGTTTAAGCTTACTTAGTCTTATAATATATACCTTTCTATAATAAACTGAATTATACGATCATTTTTATTTCGGTTCTTCCTTATGATGTATTAGGGGACGGACACAGATAACATTACCATGAACAACACTTTTCTTTACGATATAAAACCAAGATATTCTGAGTAGCCATGTGTTGTGTATTCGTTTAGTGCAAACTCTAACTCTTCGACTGGTTTCTATATCCTGCCTGGGTAAAATTTCCGCTCAGCCCCATACTACATTATGCATTCAGTTGTTGGATAGAGAAAACAATGACAAAAACAATACATTACCATTGGGAAAACAGATTTGTTTTACAATAGCATGGGGCTGTGCGGAAATTTTACCCCTGCCTGTAGTCAACGATCAACTATCTAATAACCTAGTGCAATCATGTTACTTGATAACAGTACTTTTACATCATTCAGTAATGCAGTAATTATTTATCACACTATACACTATACACCATAACTCTTTCCAATAATAGATTTCAGAATACGTCAAAAGGTGGTAAGAACATTAGTGACACACTCTGCTACACCTTATGTGCCCCTCTTGTTCTTACTACATTTTGACTTCATCTGCAATCTCTTCGTACTGTACATATGCAGGCAATTACATGGAATCTACATGTATTTTGTCTATAAGAACTGAATTTTCAACATTTTGTCACTAAGTGTGCATTGTCCTGTGAAAAAGCAAGAGCAGTTTTTGTTGCAGTATTAATTAACAAATTTGGCATCATCTTAAACTATTGTGATTACTGTAGATAATACTTGTACTTTCAAAGGGTTTGAATTTCATGTAAACAGTCCACCTTGGGGTTTGCTGTTTAAATTGTTGTGGATGTGGGTCTGTGTAAAGTTTGAATTTGTTTTCCTATTTGAATTTGTGTTGGTTACTGCATCACAAGCTGTATATTAACCCTTTAACTCCCAAGATGTCATTAGTAATTCTCCTTACTGTCTGCCAAACAGTTCTTGGGATGTTAGTTGGAGAATCTGGTATTAGATCAACTTATAATCCCCTAATTGATATTTTTATTTATTCTCATCACTTGTCTGCTTGATATTGTATTGATATTATAAAGGAGAAATTCTGTCTTGATCACTCATGGGAGTTAAAGGGTTAAATGTAGGATTTCATGATGCAGTGAACATTTCCATTAACCCTTTACACTTAGTATCAGTATGCAAGTTCTCTGTACTATTTCAATACATATCTATGGTACTAACAGGAAGAATTAATCTAAAAGTCAAGGGCTCCTTGAGCTAACCAATACCTTTATTCCTATGACCTAATATTTGGTAGAGCAGTGATACCGTTGGGAGAAATTAGATGCATATCACTCTTAGATTGTAAAAGGTTAAGTCCATGTTTTACCTCTAGTTAATTTCCTGTGCAGTCAGTGGAGATGTCATATACTGGGATTATACAGATGGACAGATTATTAAGGTAAGCACTGATCAAAGTACAATTTATGTTGCAGTCTAGATAAATTGATTCTCGCAAGGACAATTAATATGCTGGTGTTCAAACTTTTCAGTGGCTCTAGAATTTTTCATATCAGTTTTTTTATATCACTTTTTTTTGTGTTTATCACCTTATTCTGAAATTGAGGGAAACAAATCATAAACCTTTTAACTACCAAGATCTCATTAATAATGCTCCTTACTGTCTGCCATACAGTTTTTGTGATGTTAGTTTGGAGAATTTGGTATTGGATCAACTTATAATCCCCTTACTGATATTTTTCTATATTCTCATCACTTGTCTGCTTGACATTGAATTGATATTGGAAGGAGAAATTCTGTCTTGGTCACTTATGGGAGTTAAAGGGTTAAAGTGATTTTGATTGTGAAATTGTAAATCAAAACTATATTTTAACCACAATGTACACATAATTACTCTGTATTCACTTTACCATCAGGATTTGTGTTTTGTATACTTTTTGGTGTTAGATTTTACAGAATTGATGGGTTATTTTTCAACAGAAATACAGATTTGAGGGTTCTTTAGTAGGATTGATGGTTCACTCAGCACATAATGAATCGGTGTTCTTGATAAAGCAAACCTCATGTAAAGGTAAAGAACCTTGTAGACTATATGTCATTGCCTTAAATTTCAATTGGTAGTTGTAAAAGTTTCAAATCTGCTTACTGGTTTGTTTAACGGTGTTTAGTTATTTGCATGGTCATCTATCTCAATGATCTGAACCTGTCTAGAAGGTACACATACAGTATATTACATGCACAAGCACCTTTAATGTGGCAAGTCAAAAAGGTTTAAGATCATATTTCAAAACATTAAATATGGAATGGTTGTCACCAATTGGGAAACCTATGTTTGATGGTTGTGTAGCAAGGCAAAACCTTTAGGTTGCCAGGTGTTTATGGTCAAGAGGTTAGTTGAGATAAACATGTGCACACAAGAAATGAAAAATTTGAATGTTCTGCTGTTTTCTTTCATAAGAATGTGCCTCTTTCTACTTGTTTGTTTGCGTATTATGCTTTGAGTTATTGTGCTAACATCCCAAAATAAAACACAAATACACGTATGAAGTCGATTTCCTATTTTATTGGCTCAAATTTTATTTCTGGCGACCCATTATGAGCTCAGGTCACCTTATAGAGAATGGAAGAGTTGAGCTGGAGCTGTGGAACTTAGAATCTGTTGCTTACTGTCTTAGGTAAGAAGAGAAAATCAAAGGAAGAAAAGAAAAAAAAGCTTGTTGAACCAGAAGAGTACAGCTTGTCTGTATACAATCCAAGATATTGTAAAAAAGTTGACAAACCAAAGTTAAAAGTGATACTTCATACATCGGGCAACTCCAAACAGACTACAATGAGTGGTGATGTAAGTGCTAATGAATATTCAATAGAGTAAGGATGAACAAGTGGAAAATGGATCAAAATCCACTATTTACTAGTTCTGAATATTACTTTTTGACCTTTCAAATTGTTACCCTTTTTTCCTTCAATAGTTTGGCACATGGTTGTAGGAGCTTAATTTAAATTTCCTTCTTTGCCTCAAAGTCTCCTCAATTTACATGTTATTTGAGGATGCACTAATGAAAATTTTGTTTTCTTTTCAACCAGGGCAACTTATTAGCAACTGTGAAGGAAAACAATCTACACTTGTGGAACTTCCTCTCTGGAAAACTAAATACGTAAGTGATGTGCTTTGCATTGAAGTGTAAATGTACTTGTACTTAAAAGATACGTTTACAAAGCCATGCTTTGTGTGAGATGACCCCATGAGAAATGGTTCATGCAGTTTTCAATACATGCGCTAAAAAATTTTGACCGAGAAGTATGCATTTTTGCCTTTTAGTAGGACAAATTTACTTAGAACAACTTCAAAATTACATGTACTGTAAGTCCTCATTCTCAAATACGGTGTTCATCATTATTGTCAGTGGTGCTTTTTGACCCCATTTTGGTGTGGTTTTGCATAGTGTGTATCATTTAGACCATAGGATAGTAGGTGAAGAACTCACTGTATTTTACAGTAATTGTAGTTTACAGTTTCTTGTACTTCTTTTTAATAATAATTCTTTGTTTTGTTGTTATTTTGTTGTTTTTTTGCCAGGTTTTCATACAGACGCATACAGTTTTCATGTGCAGCCTTTCATCCTTTAGAAGCTTGTGTTGCTACCGGTGTGTGTGGTAGTGGGGAGATAATTTTATGGTGAGTAGCTAAGGATTCCTCATGACCAGATTGCAAAATGTCCAACATGAACGTGCTGATGAAAGTCTACATGTTGTATATGTATGCCTGTCCAAAGGTATCAATCCATTTTGTCTTTCAAGGATCACAACAAAGTGGTGTGAAGTGGAATGAATATTAGTATATTTGATTAAATTTACCTCCAGACTTTTAGAATTACGTGTAGCTTGTTCTGATTAAGTCAGCTACAAAGTCAGTAATTTATTCAGTACAATGTAGTTTCCCCAACTAATTATGGTGGTGGTGTACATGACTGTTGTGGAATTACCAGACTATGATATACATGCAGAGAAATTTGTCTAACTCTTTGTAAAAAGACTGCATGCATTTTTGTTGTTTACCTTCTGTGCTTAAGGTAAACCCTTAAACTTAAAAGATGCAGGAATTAGTGGGTACTTTAATATTATTTAAGTTATGGTCATGCACAAAGGATAAAGGATGGTTTATGAAATGGTGAAGTTTGCTTGTAAATATCTGAATTAAAATGCCTGAACAATTTGCAGTTTCTGCATGTGTTCAGCCCTCTACAGTGTCTTTGGGTTCTTTGTAATAATTATGGTCTCTGAGTGGATAACGCAGTAATAAGTTTTGCAGACCTTACACATGTACATGACTGTCCTTTCTGTTATTAGGCAAGGTTTGGATCAGTTAGAAAGTCCTGCTACTTCAGTTCTTCACTGGCATCCTAATCCTGTCTCTGATATTATTTTTTCTCACGATGGTAAGATGATTTGACTTGTCTTTTTTTGTTTACTTGCTTGCATTATATATGTTTACCTCATAGTAAGTGGTAGCTACAAGTCTCTCTCTACAGACTTTAAAAAAAGCTTCTCTTTAAGCAATACTGTACTGAATGGGTTCACATCTTACTGACAATAAAACAGTTTGAACCAAGGGAGATCAGTTGATCATGGAGAATGATTTTTGGTGAGGACTGAACAGGACTGTTGTTGATGGCAAATCACTTTTACTTACAATAGTCCTACTGAGAGCTATGCTGAAGACTCTCAGCTCAACTTTATTTAAAGCTGTCATGGCAACTAAACTAGACAGCTTAGAGTGCAGCTGCACATAAATGATGTATATGTGCGTATACTGTATGAGGTTGATTGCAAAACTAGATTTACATCATAAATACATACAGCACCATATTTGATAGGCATTTCATTATGTTGTACATGTCTCAGGTTCAAATATGTTTTCTGGTGGAGAGGAAGGTGTATTGGTGTTGTGGCAGTATAAGACAGATCACCAAGTCTTCCTTCCCAGGTTAAGCACTCCTATAAACCATCTTGCTATCAGTCCAGATGATTCATTGACAGCTGTCAGTCAAAGAGAAAATGGTATGTTGTCAGTCATTTATGGGCAGCAGGTCTCATCTATGACCAAAATGATTCTAATTTTATTGAACATCATTTAAGAAGTGAAAGGTTTAGAGGCTTGATGGTTAACATTCTGGAGTCAAGATGGAAAGAGCTAGGTTCAATCCCTTGTAGGGTCTATTTTGTTGTGTTTTGAGGCAAATGTCTTTAGTCACATCACCCCACTCTGCCCAGGAATGTCTTAGGACATCAGCAAATGGTCAAAAACCAAACAAAATACAGAGGGGGGGGGGGTAATCTCAGATAGATTTGCACACCATCTATGGATTACATAAATTACAGAAAATGGAATTTGTGGACTTACCTTTGACCATCTAGTAACTTGAAAAGTGATGTAATTTCTTTTAAATAATCAGACATGACTATACATGAAATGAGTACCACTCAGATGACAATCTCTTAACTAACTGCTTTGTTTTGGTAATTGTCCCAATTAAGTTACCATTCTATGCTTGGGATTGGTTTCTTCCTCTTTGATTTCATCAAATACAGTATCATTAATTGTTTGTATCTTTTTAAATTTCAGTTATTAGATTAGTTAGCAATACTGAATGGAAGATTAAACGGACAATTCAGGGATTGAGGCAAAGTAGGTATCCCTTGAACTTGAATTAAACATCAGCCATAATGGTTGTATGGCATAAATGCATAATTATTGTTCAAATGTAAAAATTACATTTATTTTCTTGTTCATGGTGTGCAATGGAAAGCACTTTTTTTAAAGTGCACTCTGGCTGATATAATAGGAGGCTATCAAAGCATTTGAAGATAAAGAGGCAAGAACTTTTGGTCTCTCCTTTTCTGGAAAATTATCAAACTGAAAGGAAATTTTGTTCAGCAACAGTCTCTTACAGCATTCTCTTGTCATTACAATCTATTACTGCCCTTATCTCTTCTTTCCAAAAACTTTAATTGCTCCATATTGTGAGAAAAACAGACTGCCTTTGTGTGTTTTCTACTTGATTGTACTCAATGTACATGATTGTGCAATGTATTGTCTCTTTTGTCTTTTTATAGTTGATAATCTTTTTGCTGGCATTGTGTATGATCCACGCTCAAAAGGCCTAGTGACAAGTAACAAGCCTGGTGTTCTACAGTTTTAATTTTTTCCACAAAGTTTGATCATCATGCAAAATTTTTTAAATGGATAAGCAAACCACTTAAACGTTTTTCTGCAAATTTTTTTAAACAGATGAGCAAACCATTTATTTACATGAACTGTTTAAATGGATTTGAAATAATTTAGATGAAATATGTGAAGATTGAATTACTTTTACTTTATTTGTGGTAGTGGAGAATTGATTCTTTTGTATAATGTTGTCATAAATTGTGTACATTCAAAATGAATTTTTCTTTTGATTGTAATATACTTTACATGTCTTGTGATCCTGATATATAAATGTGGGTGTAGTATTTAAGATGTTACAGCAGTTGTAACTGTTGAATCTTACTTGTCCCAGATCTGCACAGAAAAAGTATTGCATCTTCACCATTTATTGTTTGTTTTTTTTTTTTTGTTTTTTATCTTTTAATCTCAGCTTGATGTTGTAAGACAGAACATTATTGTCAGAACAAAGAAGGAGCAGGTAGTTTGCACCAAGGTCGATCAAATGGCATTTAATGACAGTGGAAGCTGGTTGGCAACAGTGAGTTACTTATCTCTGAAAAAATTAATGAGAATTGAATTCTGGCAACAATGTGATCTCCATAGAGATATTGTACTTGTTTAATTAAAAAAAAAAACCATAAGTGAGATCTGATAGACTGGTAGGTTCTTCTCACAACATGTCTTGTGCACCCTGGTGAAACAGAGAAGTACAGATGTTGCATCCAGTTGAGTTAGGGCTGTATTCAGCCACTCCCTGATGACTTTACATACATGTAGGTCCATGTTCACAGGGAAAGATGCTGTTTTCTTTGGGTCAGTTACAGATTTGGAAAAATACAAGCTACTTGTCTCCTTGCACCCAGGCACTTGTAACGGGAAATTTTAGGCACAGTCTTCATACTGTTTTCACACTTACACATACAGTTTGTACATGTACATGTTTTAAATGTTTGTTAATGTTGAATACACATGTTAGTTTCTGAAACTGATTGCAATTGTTAATTAGGTTGAAAGAAGAGATGACAAGAAAAATGCAATGGAATTGAGACTCAAATTCTGGGAATACAACCAAAGTGATCAGTGGTATGATCATTAATCCATTAATTGAATATTGATAAGAGCTGACTTACATCTACAAGACTTGTCAAGTGCATCTTTGTTTCCTGAATTTCAGTAGGTTACTATATTTGTGACTTTAGGTAAAGTCAGCTTTCAAACCAGAGAAGCTATTCATCTGAAACTTTACCTTGTTTCTGTTGCATGAAGAATCAGGCAGTACCTCTGCTTCCCCTCATACTGTTCACCACAAGGTTATACCTTGCAATTCATTGTGATTCTTTGACTTTTCAGAAGTACCTAATTGTACTCTTAGGTCAGAAAGAGACACAGTGAGAGTAAAGTGTCCTGCACAAGAATGCAGCCTGATCCAGCTAGACTTCAAGGCTAGCCATTTTTGTCCACAGTTCAGTGCAGTCATTTTTTTAATTTCTTGTTCTCTCTTGTTTTCTAGTTATGTTACAAACACCTGTGTTGATTCACCTCATGATAAGAAGATTGTAGCCATTCAGTTTCAGCCTCAGCAGAAAAGAGATGAAAGTACACCTCCTCTTGCCATGACTGCTGGAAAGGATGGAAAATTCAAGATCTGGCTTTTGGCTGAAGAAACAGCTATCAAAGGTACATATGTATGTAAAAAGTTAATGTACAGAACATTTCAAGAGAGATGTGTGGGGTTGAAAGGAAAAAAAAAACTAAGACCTTTTGAGAGGCATCCCACATAGTGTGCTCTCAAGGAATTTCCTGAAGGGCAAAGGAAATCAAGAATTTCAAGGAAAATCACAAAAACTGCTAAACATTTCAATACTATTTAGCAGTGCTTGATGTCTATGGACACCTTGATGTATGACTTGCTTATAGTGTTTTCAAAGTGGACAGAAAAAATATGAATTAACAAACAAACAAAACCCCTCCTGCCCCCCCCTTCATTTTGCTCACCTTCCCTCCACCCTTAAAACTTTTGCTGATTGCATTGAAGGACATGGTTTATCTTTGTGTAAAAATCGGAAATACTATCACAACATACATGTGAGTTTATTTTTGCCCTTTTTTGCAGCCATGAATGGTATGCTGTTTGTAGGGTAATGTGTAACCATCTTATCTGTACTTTCAGGGAAGGAATACTCTTGGTCTTGTCAATCAGTTGGTTACTATGGTGACCAACCTTGCCAAGATGCAGCTTTCTCACAGGATGGGTCTCTCCTAGCAGTGGCTTATGATAAGGTTCTTGGCTCATTAACCTTTTTACACCCTAAGATCAGTATTTATATTCTTCATACTGTTCTCTGCACATTTACTAAGGTGCTGACAAGGAGAATTAGTCCAACAATCAAGAATTTCTCTAGTTGGTGATCATTTCCTTTATTCTCATGACATTAATGTGTGATTCAGAGGTGATATTGTAAGGAGAAATTAGATGCTGGTCACTCTTAAGGGTTAAAGGGTTAATGTATTGTACTGGGTTCTCATATCACTTATACCATTGTTTGTTTTTCCTTTTTCTTCCTTTCATTCTTCCATTTACACGCTTGTGCATGTGTTCATTTTGTGTCCTTTTGTTCTTGTATTTTTTGGTCGTTCATCTGTTTGTTTATTCTTACCTTTGTTCTTTTCTTGTTTCCTTTCTTCGTTCATTCGTTTCGTTGTTCATTGGTTTTGTTGCTTTATCACTGTGTTCATTCCCGTGTTTTTTCATTCCTTCATTCCTCTGTTCCAGTATTTCTTGTATTCCTCATTCTTTATGTCCTCAACTCAGGTTTATTAGGCCAATATTCGTCTGTTAGTACAATAAGAGGCCCTATCGAAGCCCATTACAGTGTAACATTGCTGTTCCTGGGTCAAAACGGTGCCAAGAAGAAAATTTTCCAAAGGTCGCTTGGTAGCCCCCCATCTGACTACTGAGCATTACCCAGGAAAATAATATTTTCCTTTTTCTTGATTCATTGATGGAGGCAAGTGTTGCAAAGAAACCAAGTTCTAAATGAACTCATTCCTTTTTTTACATTGTGGGATGGTACATTTAGCTCGGTCCTCATAGCTTTTTTTCATACATGTACGTATTGGCAAGCTGCACTTTAAACTGTAATTATGCAGTGAGTAATAGACCTGGAAAAAGTACGCGCGTCTGATTGGCTGAAAACGAGTGCATTCTCATGTAATTCGAGTGCAAAGTTGTAACATGAGTGCAAATTATAAATGGCGCGCGCGCTGCCAAAATGTCGTCGGTCTTGGGTATCTGTGATGCGTTTTTCATGTAAGTTATTAACAAGTAACAATGTTATTTCGAGTGCAATTTGGTGTAAATAAGCACTTATAAATTTTTCAAAAACTACAAATTACACTAACACTACTCGCTCGTGCAATTTTGTTGTCTTTGAAAAGTTCACTTGTGCCTATTAACTTAAAATTGCACTCGAAATCATGTTTTTATCTATACAAACCATGTTAGTTGTAAAATTACAAAATAATAAAACTATATGGTTCAACTATCAAGGAAACAATTTTTTATTTTTGTCATCATTATTTTTTATTTTACATGTAGGTTATCACTCTATGGACCCCAAGTACAAATGAGCTGAGAAAGACTCTAGCTTTACCCTACCCTGATGAGGAGATCAAGTAAGACTTCATATTACGTCACGTCAGATACGTCATATTACTTGTTCGCACAATTCTTTAGTTTGTTATTAACTCATCTACACTCGATTACATGCGTGTTACACGCACAGGTGTTCTGAATGCCACTCGGCCCTTTCGAAGCTCAGAGCAGTTGTCCGTACTTCTCTGAGTCAAATAGGAGCCAAGAAAAACATTTTCTATATGGTCGCTTGGCAGACTTCATTCTATGTCTCTACAGCATTACCCAAGAAAATAACAAAACATCTCTTTCTAGGGAACCTATAAATGGTTATGAAATTTGTATAATGCTTATATGAATTGATCACACCTGTACTTTGATGATAGCACATGTAGCATTGAATGATTGAGTTGTGTTTGTAAGTTAATGTGGAGAATTTCTAAAGCCTACATTGTGAGAGTAAGCGCTTTAATCGGAGCAAATGGCACAGGGCTAAAGCCCGAAACATTAGTTTTGTAATTTCTGTACGGTGGCCAATGTACTTTATCTACTCAGTTGATCATACCAAATTATATTACTATAACCCTACTGGAGCAACACCATAGTTTCTTTACAAAATTCCCCCCTTATTTTGTGAATTACTGTTTTATGTATTGTTCCCTTTAAAGGCGGATCAAGTTTGGACATAACAGCTCCTCACAGTACTTGGTCTCCATCACCAATCGGTATCTAACTGTGTGGAATCTTCTCTCCTGTACAGGTGAGTAGAAATGTTCAGTTTAATTTTCAGTTGAACGTGGAAAGGAATTCGAGAACTGCATTTGTGTTGCTTTGCTTACCTCAGTAAACACGCAGAATTTCCAATTGAGCGTCGGAAGTAATTCGAGCAATTTTTGGAGTAGTAAATTTTAAATACTCGAAGTTGAATAGAATTATGGGATTCTTTTTTTTAAGAATTTTGGCGTCAGGCAAGTAGTAAAAATACTCACAGGTCTAATGGGGGTGCGGAGGGGCCTGTACCTCCCGGTTCTCCAGAATTTCCGCCCCCCAGCCCCCCCCCCCCTTCCTTCACCACCACTGAGTATTACACGAAGTGTGTTGCGTGATGATGCCAGAACAACGGCCGCGCAAAAGACTATGGAAGAGACCTACTAATATTAACTTGTACACTCTGTGATTAATTTGGGCAAACAGTCTTTCCACGCTGATTATTTGTGTTTTTCTTTTCTTTTAGTTTGGTGGAGTGTGGAAGCCCCTGTGACGTGTTTACTGCCTGATCCACAAACAAATCTGATTTGTGTTTTCGTTTCATTCAACAAGAACAAATCACACTGTAAGTGGGCCTTGTTATCGTCGTTCTGGTTTTAAGATCATCCGTCTGATCTTAGTGAACTGAATCTTGCTTGTAATTCTTAAAACCCATTTACTCTTAGAATGCAAATTTATTTTACAATCTAAATACACTGTTGAGCAAAAAGGTGCTGAGAATTACGAAGTTCATAAACGAGGAGAATTTGTCCTGCCGTAACACCAAAATCTTCGAAATAGCTAACTAGCAGATGGGCGTTAAAGGTTCGATACTCATGTTTAAAAAATGGCTTTATTTGAGACACTTAACAGGAAGTATGGATGTACTTTGCCATAAACAGAAAGGAAATTCTAGTCTAAGTGACAGAGAATTTTCCCCAGTCGTTGAGACTAAACGGAGACAGCTTATTCCCGTTTCCGTGGCATGAACGGATGACATTCCACACTTTGGTCATCAAACGCACCGACTATCAGAATTTTATCTGGTTTCAAGCCATTTACCGGCGCCATTTATATTCTGAGCAACAAGAACAAGGAAACTGAAAGTTTTGTCTTCACAACAACCAAAGCGTGTTTAAAAGAAGTTGGGAAACAGAGACAAGAAGTAATTACTATTTAACTTTGTTAAAAGTGGCCATATATTTTTTTTAATTATAGTGTACATTTTCGACCCAGCCTCCCCTCATCCTGTAGCTGTTCAGTCCTCTGTGTCCAGGAGGTCGGATGTTGTGTCAGCGGTCTTCGACAGGGAAAGCGTTTTATGCAGCAACAAAAATGGGAAATCGTTCAAAATGTCGAAACTTTACTTCTTGAATCAGGAGCAGGTATGGGAAAATTGCTGTAAGTTTATTTGGTTTTTATGAGTGTTGAGGAAAAAACTTACAGTTTTTGATTGAGTACCTGATGCAGTTCGGTTTTGCGCGAGAAACCATGACGTTTTTACAAAGTTTGTAAAATTAGCGAAAAATGCAAGCTATAGGACTTAACGTTACCTTTTTCCATTTCAGAAACTGTTCACATTGGATTTTGGTGAATCAGAAGATAAAAAGAGTCCAGTCAAGTCACAGGTGAGTAACTGTGACCCTGTCACCCTCAGGAATGACCAACCAACCAACCAATGACCAACTCGTAATCTCTCCTTGTAATGCTATAATCAATATCATCACTGTGAAACTTTGTTATTGATCTTAATGATTTTTTTTTGGTCACGTCGTTTTCCCTCTTTATTTTTGTTTGTTTGTTTGTTTTTCTTTTAATTTTTTAAAAGGTTTTAATGTTAAACAGTCGAAATAAAAAAAAACGAGCTCTAATCTTGAATTAAAACAGACATATCGTCAAACCTCTAAGAATTTTTCTCCGTGGGAAGGGTACGTTGTCCACTTAAAAGTCATTGCCGCTGTTTCCAATTGAATAAACTACCACATCTGTTCTACCTTTCCTTTCTTTATTTCTATTGAATTGCCGCCTAGCAAAAAGTGGATTTATAGAAGCGAACCGTTTCCACACCCCCACCCCACCCTAATTGAGATCCTTTTATTAAGCCAGTGCTTTAGGCTTTTAGTAATGTTTGACTTTTCCTTTAAACTTACATGAGTGAATCAGTCAATGACGTGATTTTTGACATTGCTTTATTTCAGGAATCTGCTGCGAAGCCAGAAGAGCAAACTGAATTCTATAAGATCTTCGGACAGTCAACGAAGAGAAGTAAGTGATGAAGACAGCAGCTGTCTTTCGTAACCTACGGTCTGGTCATTGCCTTCATTCCTGCAGCTTATAATCTGCGAATGTATTCTTCGTGGCAATATTTTCCTGTCAAATCCTCGACCAACACTCGTAAATCTCGATTCTCATTCCAGCCATGGACGGCTTCTTTCCACGTTTCATTATTCTTTTTCTTCTTTTTATCATCACTGTTATCATTTTTTTTACTTACCCAATGAAGGTTATCAACTTATCTCTGTTTCAGGAGCGGAGTCCACTTCAGATCACCGCGTCGGTAAAGGTGTCAGGGGAAATCCATCAAGCGCTGTGGTCAGACAGGTTGGTTCGAAGTGTTTTGATTCCAAAATTTAGGCTTCTTAAATATTGCTTACCGTAACGAGCTCGAATGCGGATTTCTTTCTTTGCAGATGCTGCAGACCCCTTCTCATGTTCTTCCTTCAGTTTCCTCTATTTGCTCATCATTTCTGCAGTCACTGTTGGTCAGCAAGCAATCCGCGCCAAGGTAACATTTTCTTTTCCAAGTATATAACCTGAGTTTCGTTACGCATAGACTGCTGGGAAAAGCGCTGCATACCAAATAACACGTGTAAAAGGATAAAATTGATGAGCGAAAACAGGCCATGAGGTCTATTTTATGTGAAATTTCGTCTCACTTATTCTGATATGAACATTTGTTTTCTTTATTTTTTCGACTTTCTCAGGGAAGATCAAGATAATGACAAGAATAGTGATGATGAAAACGAAGGTAAGTTTTTCAGGACCTTTGCTGAAAATCTGTCACACCTCGTGTGACTTACAGCCCTTAGCGACCACTATAGCGCTTAAATGTTGTAAAACCGAACAATCTCAGAGGCGAGTGAAGCAAAATTAGTGCGATTCCAACTACTGTCGACGTTCATTTCAATCCCTTAATTGATTTATTTCTAACTAATAGAGCAATTCTTGTTTTTTTGTTTGTTTTTTAAAATTTTTTTTCTCCTGCAGTTGAAAGTATGGATGAGGATGAAGACAGCGACGTAGAAACAACGCGTGTTGCCGAAGGAGCTTCCGGGCAAGTTCCTGACTCTTCGATGGAAACGACAGACAGTGCTGTTTTGCAAAGCAGGCAACTCAATTCCGGAGAACATTACGCTGATCTTGACAGTGTTAATTTTACCTGGCTAAAAGACTTCTTCGCCTCTTCTTAAGTCAACTTTGTTGTCGCTAACATCAGATGCAGGATATGTGCGTGAATAAAACGAAATAAGTATTTCATCAAGGATGAATGAAAGTGAAAAATTAAAACAATACAATTTCCTCAGTGCCGTGTCTCATCTCGAAAGAATGCCCCGCAGATGAAGGACAACCATGAGCTCTCTGGAAGAGAAATGTAAATGTTGTACTTTTGTGGGGAGACCCCTTGCAGTGTAAATTAAAACTGAACAGTGTTGAAAATATATTTACTAACAAGGAAAAAAAGTTTTAAAGTATTTTATCAGGGATCTGGTTTTCAGGGGAATCAGTCGTCGCCAACAAATTATTACTAGAACGGACTTTGACTGCCGATCAACTGCCAATGAGGGGAGATCATTACAAAGCCTCGGGGGGTGGGAGAAAAAGGAAAATTTTACCGCAAAACATGTTTATGGCGTCCGTGCGCATGTCTCCATTGTACACTTTTTTGCCTCATTTTATAATAAATGGCTGTATTACTTGATATTTTATAAAAAAGAATTAAGGATAAGGGCTGAAGGCTCCAATAACGAATCTCGTACCCAGATCTTACCGTTTAACTGTAATTGAGCCGCTTGGCTGTGGACGGTGGATTCAAGACTTCCAAATGACAACTTGTACTTCAGAATTCAGCGTAATTGAATGTAACGCAATTAAAATGTGTTTTATTGATCTTTTTCAAAAGCGACAGCAAAACCCAACACCATGACATAATATAACATTCCTTGTGGACCAGTCGTGGCTTTTAACTGAGTTTTCCTTCAACACGATGACCACATTTCTATGAAATATCTCCCCTTAAGTCGATACACAGGTCTAAAAATGTTGACACGAAAAAGTAACGCACCCCCCCCCTAGTTTAAACACACTTGAAAATCCGCTCCCATAAAACAAAAAAAAATGTCAATTCCAGTCATTTTTTGTAACGCTTCGCTAGTTGTGTTGCTGATCTCCAAATGCAAGCAAAGTGTAACCAGCAGGTTTGTCACGTGACTTCTTGAAGATCATCAGCGCGGTACCCACCAATGAAGCGGCGCAAATCACAAGGAGAGTCATCAGAAGGGAAGAACCGGAACCTAATGGGGAGACTGAGGGCATAAATTATGCGCATATGACAAGGTTACCTAACTTAACTTTTTGGTTAATGGGCGACGCGAGCCACAAAAAAGAGCTAGAATAATCGATGAATCAACACGTCGAGAAAGATCAGAGACAATTTTGAGGTACTCTTTCGCAACTCGTAGCTGGAGGCCTTGTTGTCAGGCTAAGAGGGAAATAATAATAGGTTTTTATGTTACTGCTTCAGCACAAATTGAAGAAATCAGTTAAGTATCAGTATGCCATTTTGGAAACCATCTGAAGGCTGATTTTCACTCTACAACTTAGTCCAATGCGTTCTGCTTTTAAAGTTGTGACAACTTTAGTCGTGCAAAATCGAAAAAGGTTGAAAAGAGGCCTCAAGGTTTTAAAATATATTTCTGTAGAAACCAATCCCCCGCCGAGTCCCAGCTATCCATAAATAGTTAAATATATAGTTAAATAATAAATAGCGGCTATCCTAAAATAGTTTGACATTCGCACGGTTAGGCAAATGACAAAGTGTTTGGTCCAATTCACAAGTGATGTCAAGTAACGTTAAGTTCTTAATGCTGTTTCGCCGTATTCCCGAATCGTCCTATTTCATCGTTTGTCTCGTATTTCCTCTGTTATTTCTTGTGTGATTTCCATTGTTCTAATTAGTTGTAGTACGTTTGTAGCATTTATTTAAGAAATCACTGGCAATTTTCATGTTTAGTAAAGAGTTCGAGTCGTCCAGAAAAAAACTTCTTTACGTCCTAAAATTATTGCTTGTACGCTGGTTATAATTAATATTCATTTAGTTGTATGTTACAAACGAGCATCGTGAAATTTTTGATATATTATAGAGATATCTAAAACTGAAAGGTAATATAAGTAACAACTTTTGCACTTTATCTTTGTGTTACATACCATTTGTTCTGTAGTTATTTGCGCGCTTTTCCTCGCGTTTGTTACGAGCTAGATGAAGAGGACCCTCTGCCAAAAAGTACGTGTCAGTCATTTGACCACCTGCCGCCCGTTTTCCTCGGCCACTTGAAGGACATTTCTGTACGCACTGAGAGTCTGGATCGGTTGCGTTACATACAGTCACGTGGCAGTGGACAAACACAAACGGATGACCTGCAATAAACTTAAAGGCCTCAAGGCTAAACCGCTGAGCACTGACTGATGGCGAAGAATGGTATTGCACAGTTACGTCATTGGGGCATCTAAAAGACAGGTTTGAGGAAAATAAAATGTCAAGTTTTTGAAGGAGGTAAGGACAGGTCTCCAGTCACAGTACTTCATAAAACCTAGAAGATAATGTACTCGCCCACAGCTCTCAATTCTTGTGATTTTGATGACCACTTATGTAATAAAGCCATGAAATGAGATACCATAACCTATAACATACCCTTTCTTTATAAACCCGTACTTTAAGGGGTTGGACTGATCCTGGGTAGGGGTTGCGAAGCATCTGTCAGCAATTATTGACAGCTGCTTGTCATCAGAGGTGACTAACACTTCAAAAAACAGACGTTCGCGCAGCACCACACCAATAGGGAAGTCGTCTTTCATGTAAGGACTCACGAATCTGTTGTCAGGGAACATATTCAGAGAAAGTGTGAAGTTTCCTTTGCCTTCATCACTGAACACGAGTTTTCTGTTACTTGGCTTCCAACTGGCAACGGATGATACCACGCCGTACTTGGATAAGTAGCAGCTGAATGGTATTTCTATTTCACGTACGCGTGTTATTACGCCCTTGGCAGCCACAGGGATTTCCAACACAGCGTTGGAGTAGACGATAGCTGTAGGTGTAAACCTGCGTGTCGTGTTACAGCCATTCAGTGGAGTCGTTAGGAAAAAATGAGTGTTGGTTTCTCTAGCTCTACAGGTCGTGTCCAGGAGTCGAAGATGCTCACGGTCGAGACCGCGGAGGAGGGACTTGGGGATGACGATGGTCATGTTGTTGCTGTTGCACTCGACGTCAACCCCTGGAGCTGAAACAAAATTTTTTTTCTTGAAATGGGAAAAAACAAACTCGAAATTTACTCACCCACCTTATCTCTTTATGATGGATGTGAGCTTTTCATTCTACTTTTTAACCTGTGATGGCATGGGTCAATGAGTTAAAGACCATCCAAATTTGCTCAAAAATTTAAAATTCGGGCGATAATTTTCTCAATAGGGTGAAGAAAAAAAGTCACTTCTGAAAACCGTTAGATGCCTGACCCTTAAATGTGTTCGTTACTTGCACGATTCCGTTCGCCGACCACTATCGCTTTTGGGGATAAAAAAGGAAAGAATAGCGGAATTAATTACCAAACAAACATTGGTTGCCATGTGAACTTTAATAAAAAAAACAACAGCTAAACATCAGGGTGAAAAAAAAAAATAAAAAAAGGAAAGTAAGACAAAGAATAAAAGAAGGAGTGCCTATTTGTTATCAAGACAGTATACTAACCATGGCATGTTTTGTTATCTGATGATAAGCTTAGCTCTGGGTCTGGACATTCACATTTGTAGCCTCCTGCAGTATTGACGCACTTGTGACTGCAGCCACCATTTGACACAGCGCACTCGTTAACATCTGTCGAAAAGGTGGGTAAAAAAATAAAACGGATGATAACACACATCTATTTGGTAAAGTTAAGCTTGATCTAAAGAAACTTCTCTCATAAAGAACTGCCTGGTACTGGCTGAAATTTGGCTGAATCTGCCATAATTATTAGATGAGCTCTTGTATATATATATATATATATATATATATATATATATATATATATAAATATATAACTAACTGCAGACAGTACTGTTTCGGCCTTCTGGGCCTCATCAGTGCAGTGCTGATGCTAGGATGGAGGTAAGGCCATATAGCCACCCCAAGTGATCTCACACATGTGGAATCATCTATATATGTGTGAGGGTGTGGGTGTGGGTGTGTTTGTGCCTGGTTGACCATTCCCCAAGAGGGCTTTTCAGGGCCTATATGAACAAATTTAAATGTTGTTAACTACCGATCGAAAACCCCAACTGGCAGACCAGTTGGCCAAATAGAAAGGGCAGCCAACGACTTGCAATCCGGACCATCGAGAAAAAATCCATTGTAGCAGGGTGGAGGGCTTAAACCCGAGACCACCAGAATACAAGTCTTGTTCCCTAACGACTCAACTCGCTGACATTCTCTTTCCTTACTTTAGTTAAGAGTACTTTCTCTTCTTTAGATAGAAGATCTATTAACTATTTATAGTTTTTAGTTCATGAATACGTTCATGTCATGGAATTTGGCATATTTGTCTCTAAGGAGCCTTAGCGCATCCCAAGACAAGAGAGAAAAGCGCGAGAGCTCACCTTTGCACGAAACTGACTTGGCACTGTTTGTCCACTCGCCGTTTGACCCACACAGTGTAAAGGGCAAACCTAGAAGCTGGTATCCCTGTGGGCATGAAAACGAGCAGTTCGTATTGGCTTTCATATGTGACGTCATACAATCACCCGGAGATGTTTTTACAGGACGAGACAAGTTGAGTTTCATGCAACCTGGAGCTGAAACTGTGGAGAAGAATAAGATGACTGTGAACGTCAAGTTCAACCACAGTAAAAATAAATGGGAAAGGAATACACTTATAGTATGGTGATAATAGTTTATTAAAACCTTTCTTGTATTTGTAAAACTGAATTAACGAGCTGGTAAAACGTGAAATAAGTATAGTGTCAATAATACGACATAACTACTTATTATATTGGGGGAATACCATCATGTTTAAAACGGGGAATCAGTCGTCACTAATAGAGTAAAATGGAAAACTACAGAAAAGAGATGCTGTTAAAAGAGTAATTGTGGTCACCCAACTTGTTAAGCTTTAGAGCTATTTAAGTGACAAGTCACCTTCTGTATTTTCAATTTATGTATTGTACACTTAATTCAATTTAATTTTTTTTTTAAATCTTACAATAAACTCGAAAGTTATTATTGTTTTTGCTGCGGTAGTTCATATGAAGGAGTTCTTCCCTAGTTCAAGTTTCAAATTGCGAACAAATCTTAAAAGCTCTCCTCACCTGCTACATGAAAACTGTCCCCCTTTATGGGAATTCTGGCATGACACCATATCCCTACGTAGTTGTTACTTTTAGAGTCTGCTTCACTTCCTGACATTGTGATTTCCTTTGCCAAGTTGTCATTAACATAAACTTTTACGTTAATTCCATTGACTACTGACTTGAGTTTGTACCAAGAATTTGAAGTCACCCCAAAATTGATGCTTGGACTACTCTCTTGTCCAGAACTTGTTATGTACATTTTCCCATCCCACAAGAAGTATCCCCACGCCTTTGTTACCAGGCTGTTATGTAAGTCAAGATAATTTCAAGAATATTGTAAGATTACAAAAAAAAGGTAGCTAGTTAGTGAGTATGCAGCGACTAGATCACCCTTGATGAAGGCACTAGACAGAAGTCGAAACGTTGGGTCTATGAATTGTAACTTCTCGGTTACATTCATTTAATCTTTGAACCAGAGAAGCATCAAGCCAGATTTCCAACCACAAGGTACGAAATCTCTTTAATGAGTGAGCCTCGTATGACACAAATTCCTAAAAAACGTTGCTTAATGTGAGATACAATGTAAGTATATGCTGTTATTGTAATAGCATTGTTAGTATGCCCAAAATAAACTTTATGTTCATCATTTTATTTCAGACAGAAAAAAAAGATGAATTACTCTAAGGTGCAGGGTGTGCGAAGTACGTTAACTTTTCATCACATTTTGATTTTCTATGGCATGAAAATGAACCGTTAAAAATATTGCCACATTTATTATATCTTTTCTGGTTAATACCATAGTTTCTGTCAATACAACGTTTTCGTAACAAATATCTTTGGATTCTCTGAACTTTACAAAATAAAAAGCAGGGTTTAAGATCACAAACAAGCAAAAAAAGCTCAGACAAATAGGCCAAAAAAACCGAACAATCGTAAGCTAATCGTACGAAATATCAAATTTAAAAACAATTGTTGAAAAGTTACTCACTTTCGTGTTCGCACGCTCCCTTGCTTGTACTTAAATACATGTCCACAGGCTTTGTTATTTAACACTTGAACACGGCTGTTAATTTCTGAATTAAAGTAAATCAAATTGTTATGTAGGGTAGGCTAGGTAGCCTCTGTACCAGGGTGCGCTGCTAGCCTCGTTATGATGTTTATATAAAGAATGACTTTCAAAATAGACGACTATTCTGTTGTTGTGGTACGTTGCTGTCTACTTGTTGAAACACAAATGTCATGGAAACACTTCATATGGGACCAGTCAATCACCGCGGAGGTAGATAATTTTTTGGTTGGATCACATGGTTTTCAGGGGGAACTGAGCGGGGATCAGTCGTTGCCAACAAAGTATATATTACAGAGTATTATGGGGGATCAGTTAAAAATTATCGTAACACAACAGAGATCCTCCGACCTACCCTCCCCAGGCCATAAATAATGACCCCTGTCTAAAAAGGTCTAGTTTTTAATGAGTACCGAATCTATCCATGAACATGGATTGAAGCGCTGTGAAAAAGTTTCGCCACTAATAGGCCAGCAACTGGCACACGAGTGTTTTGACGTGATTTCTTTTTCTTTTCTTTTCTTTTTTTTTTCTCATCATTTTTTACATTTTCACTAACCATACTTATCAGAGTTCAAAGGTGTGATCCACAGTCTCACTGGACCATAATGAAATTGAGCTTCGTCTGTAGGAACACTTCCGGTCCATGACAAGCCACTGTCACTCCAGGAACCAATCAGATTATTCCATATTCCTTATAAAATAACAGATAACATATTTGTCATAGGACCCCGGCGCACTGAGCCGACAAAATTTGTCTTGCTCCACCAAAACTCTCTGCAAAATTTGTCTCCGCCAAATTTTCAATTTTTCAATCGCGGGCGCACTGAAAAAGTGTTTATGTCATGGATAAACAAATTGAGCAGCACTTGGAACTGGGATTTAGCTTAAACGTAAACGCAGTTTTATTCCGAGTATCCTGGGTACTGATCGTCTTGCAGCATCCGGAGGTACAAATCTTCCATTTTCACTGTTTGATTCCCGCGTAAAGATAAAATATTTTGGCGTAAAGGAGAATAGCTACTTTTCCGTTTAATCACTTCTAGTCATTTCTATCGCCATAATGACTTGACGTCCAGGTGGATAATTTTTTTGTTGTTTTTCTTTTAAAGATTTTTCCAAATTAAAGTTACAGTTCGTTAAAAGGAAAACTCAATAAGCGCCCCCCTCGATTAAGCGCTTTCCTTCCAATAGGTGCCCCCCCTTTTTTCCCCAAAATTTAATTAAGTGCTCGGGCGCTTACTCGAGGAAAAAAGTATTTCATCTGAGCACAACGGTTTTTCCGTTTTAAGGATCGATATCAGGTTTAAAACTCACCTTGAGAATCGATTTCTATCACCATCGTAGAGGTGCCTACGAGGGCAATGAACGACCAGTGGAAAAGAGTCATATCGGAAGGTTCAAAGATCAACCATTCGCCTCCAAAGGTAATCCTTCGACGGCAGCAGACGGAACGAAATGATTGCATGCTAGGTAGTAATAGTCTTTCCATTAGAGGTTGTCATCGAATATCTTTTACTGGGCTTCTAACATTTCACCTTGTTCAAATATTGAATGAGTTTGTGATCATAAACCCTGATGCTCTAGCAAGTAGACACGCCGAAAGCTCACCAAAATTTCCCATCGAAATCAGTGCAGAAACAATACAGATCTTTGGGATCTGCCAAACATTCTGAGACGATCTGAAAATTGTTGTTGTGTCGCAAAAACGAATATTTCTTAAAGGTGTTTTCTTTGGGCTTCGACGTAACTGATAGAAGTTTTGACAACCAGCCCCAGAGACCATCGGAGAAAATGTCCAGGGTGTAAGTTTGCGGCTTTTCAAAACACCAGCAGCCAAGATAATCGACAAGGTGTACTTTTCGGCGAGAGAACATGTTAACATATGCGTATGCTTTGTTTTCTTCTGAGACTATGCTAATAGCGTGCATCATCGACAACTGTCTCCCAGACAAATGATAAAATAAAGGTTGATGACACAATAGTATTTTCGGCCTTTCACCAAGAACAATGTTGTGTGAGAAAACTTCTGTAACGGAAGACTGTTTGTGTATACCTTATTAGAAGTAGTAAGTTGTTGTTTGATCAAGAACATTACGGTTTACCTTACATCGAAAACAATCCGGCAACATTTCCGCCTATAACTGCATACTTAGACTCACTATCCAAACAATTATTGGGTGCAATAAAAATGTGCGAAAGTGTAAAATGTAAATAAATACAAAGCCGCAACATCAACATGTCACCAAGACTTGTAAAACAACAATATAGCAATTCTACTCATGTAACCTTCTAACTCACCAGACCTGATGAGAAATTCGCTAATACAGCTTTCACGCATTTACTACCGCGAGAGAGTTTGGTTACAACAGGGCAACACACTCCGACTGGCATGTCCTGCTACTCTCTATACGTGATTGCTGGATAAAGAGAGGAAATTGTAGGAAAAAACGTCTTAAGACTATGATCTCGTTGAATTTGATGGTGTTGTTAAAGTTGTTAACAGCGTCGTTACGCTAACGACGTCGTCAAAATCCTTAACACTGTAAAGTTATCAATGTCCAGAGGTTAACGACGGCGTTAAACGTTTTTTGACGTCGATAAGATTATGACGCCATCACTGTGGCTTTAGTGTTCACCAATGGCCGGGCTTCTTTAATAAACGGCGTCGTAGACTTAATAACGTTGTTATGCTATATATTTTGTTTACAGATCGAGTCCATTAGCGACCTTTCTACTCGATATACAAATATTTTGTCTTTCTTTCTTGTATCCGGCAAACATTTTTTTTTTGCGTCTAAATCTCGTTTGGTTTCAAAACTAAGCAAATGTAATTTACTTGGGTAGAAACGTTCACGCAGCTATCCTTTTAACAACTTAGAAATCTTCCTGGAATAACAAATTAGTTCCATCTAACATCTGTCCCTAGATGGGTGGAAATAAAATAGTCTCGAACAATTCTGAACAGAAATGGCATATCATTTGTTAAATTCATTGTTCATGAATCTATTTTGAGGACATGCTATTTCACTCTTCAATCTCCAAGCTGGATCTGGACGTCAAATAAATTTATGGCTTTTCATTTTTATAAGAGTAGAGTATGGCACAAATATAAATGTAACGCTGAGTCTAAATGCCCGGCAGCTAGGCACGGTCTTACGTACTAAATATCTGGAAATCAGGAATTTTCACAGAAATTCTACTCAAAGGTTCTTTCAAACTTTTAAAGAGTATCAGATGTTTTTTTTGAAATGTCAAGTGATTATAAATACTCTTGGGTTTTTTTAGTAGACACATTTTTGCCGAGTGTCACGTAAGGAGCGTTTGATCTGCTCGTGGAGTCAATCCCTATCCTCTTCCTGACATGTTCTTGTTGCCCTCGCACGAAGTCAAGAGCCGTCACGTAACAATTAAGAGGGACCAAAAGATAGCGTTAAGAATTTTAAGCAGAAACAAAAACCCTTGAGAGAAGCTTAACGTATATCATTAGTAAGACAGACTGAAATCACAGTGATATTTTCACGTGCACTTCACCAGAAATAACACCCGATGGCCACCAATTAAATTTGAAAGTCACTTGAAACAGGAACTAAAGTGTAACCGCGCTTGATGTTACTTTATACCTTAAAAACATATAAACAATTTACTCTCTTATCGAAAAATGAAAAATTCATTAAAGAGACTGAGTTTTGATCTCAATCGAAGGATTTATTGCCAACAGATTTTATTTGCGAATTTGATCACCAGTGGTGTCGTTACAAAAAAAAACGAGCAAATTTTCCTATTTATTTAAATAGTGCTATTTTTGGACCAATCACTGTGATTTCGCGATTCAACTTTGTTCTGTGTGTTTAGGCTGTGTCTAAAACAAACTGGTTGTTTGACCTCACTGGCAGTTTGTGGCGTTGAACGGAGAAATTATGCAGAAATTGGCACATTGGACAAATCTCGGACTGTAGGTGCTGCGGAGAGTCTACTTGTCCCGGGTCGTCCTTGAAAAACCTTACCATCAGTTTCTATACACTAACACGTGAAAGTTATCTGAGATAAAGAAACAAATTTACGTATTAGACTTGGTAATCATAAACACAGCGTGCACTTCGGGCATCAGCAAGTTTATCGACTGATCGCAGTGATCGGCCCGTTAGGATATAACATCGCTGTACATATTGTCTGTTCACAACTCTACAGCCCTGGTCTTAGCCGCAAAGGTGAACTATGGTCTTCTTTTTGGAGAATGAGCTTTGAGATCTCGGGAAGTTGACATACTTAGTAACGTATACAAATGTACAGAACAATCGCGATCACGACAATACCTAATGCCAGAAGTAGTCTTTCTAATCTAAAACTCACGAAGTAAGAAATGGCAGCGCTTAAACCACTTTTCGGGTTATTTCGAGAAGCTTGTTCCACTACGGCGCTTGCATAGTGCTCGGATACTGACAAAGTCCTGAACAACGCTTGGATTTCCGTTCCCCTAATGTCGTTCTCTTGAACAGCGATCTCCTTGGCGAACCGCTTCGCAAACTCTAAACAGTCGTCGATGATCAGTCGATACTTCGATGGAACAACAGTCAAGCACAACAACTGCAGGTATAAGTACGCCATAGCCGATTCTCCAACGTAAAAACTCCGAGATTTCTTCAGCCATGGCATGTAAAACATGTTGCGTGTAAGAATGTAGTTGTTGCCGGACTCGTCTAAGCAGACGTGATACTGCTGTAAAGGGATCGTAGCAGCCATTCTTTTCACAGTTTCGAAATCTTCCCGGAATGCCAAATTAGGTCCATCTAACATCTGTCCCCAGATGGGTGGAAATAAAATGGTCTCAAACAATTCTTTGTCGACAACAACGATCGATGCATGCCCCTTAAAGATGTTTATAAGAACATATTTGTCTTTCTCCACAGACATTTCGTCCTTTGCTGCTTTCAGATCGAAGACACTCTTGCCTTGCTTACGCAAACGATCCGCGATCTCCACAAGACCTTCCTCAAACAAACTCTTGTCGATATTTTCTCCGAACAAGGATTCATCGTGCGAGGCAGCCATATTAGAATGATGGGAAATTAGTCGACGTGTGCGGTTGTTTCCCAGATGTCACATGATCAATGAAGCAAGGAAATTTATCATCGGTTTATTTCCGGTGCAATTTTGAAACTCTGTCTATGTAAATTAATCGACGAAGAATTCACTAGACTGTATTTGTATGAGAAATTCTTCGAAGAAACGTCGTCAGATCATTTCTGTTACAACAGAGGCTTTTGTTCCAACACTTCTGGAAGCGCCGGAAAGAAAAATAATCAAAGTGTCTCCTATCATTTATTTTTCAGTCTATTAAGATACATGAAAAGAATTACTCAGTTCTGATTCGTTAAAATAAATGCAGTTTTCTGGTAATTCAGTACAGAAGAGGGTTAATTCAGCGCAAAGAAGTAACAAACCAGACTGAACAATTCCTTGAACTGTTCAGCCGGACTTTGAACTTTTTTGCGCCTTAAAGATGTGAAGATATCGTTGTATATTATTGTTTTGATCGTTCGCGGTTGTTTTGACCGAACGCACAAGGTCACTTGCAGGGTTTGAATAAATTATTTTAACACTTGATGCGCACGCTTTGCTTCTGCATAATTATGATAAGCTATCTCGTATTTTTTTCTTGTATATTATTAACACGTAATCACATAATTTTTCTCGTGCAATTTGGAATAAATAAGCACCTGTAAATTTTTTCATTTTCGGAAAATGGTGGTCTCGACCGCTCAGAAACTATTAAAGACACATACGGAACTCATAAATGAATGTAGACGATGATAATGGTCATCCATACGGTAGATAGATGCTGATTTAGAAAATGTATTGAAAATTTAATTCGTCAGTGCTTGATTCGTAACCGTCATACATTGTTTTACATTACTACATGTTACTATAATAAGTTTTACATGGTTGTACATGTCAACATACCATCCATGCAAGACTTACTATAGTTTTATGTAAAACAATGTATGACGGTTACGAACAAAGCACTGAAAAATGAAATTTTCAATACATTTTAGACTGAAAATCTAAATTTAGTAAAATGATTTGCCAAAGCATAGAAATGTAGTGTTTTTCACGCTTATCCGGGCCGTTTTAAACGTCTTTCATTTTTAATCAATCACTCATGATAGTCCGCCTGTGGTTGGAAAAAGTTTGCTAACAACACCATGGCACACTATATTTGCATGGAACGCCAAATTCATCGTTCAGTTGGCGGGCGTTGGCGATAAATTTAGCACGTAGGACTCTAGTTTTTCTTTAGTACTAAAACTGATATGAAACTAAAAAGTTTTCCGTAGAAATTGCATTCAATTAGGATTAGCACAATTCGAGATGTCAACTCGCTGCTTTACAACTTTAAAAACGGCTTCTCTTTGTCAATGGAAACAACTTGTTTTAACACCATTTTAAATGCCTTTCACTGATTGGAAAGCCGAAGACGAATATATTGAGAACCTGATTGACATTCGTAGATTTCTGCATTTATTTAAAATGTAAAACATTTACTGGTTTTCATTTTAATCAAAAACGTTCTGTCTGACTAAATAAATACAAACTAAAAATAGGTAAATTTTACCCTTTTTTCTATCAAATTGAGAGAATTGGCGAATCAAGGAAAAATTTTAAAGTCTTTTTCCGTTCTTCAACCACGTTTTCCATAATGGTGACGAGTTGTCAACTTACTCGTTACTTAGTAGTCAGGTACTCGTTTTCATTCAGTATTATTCTTTAAAATAAAAAATAACAAACTCATTTTTCATTTGATTCCCTTTAAATGTAAATTGTTCCGTAATCCATAGGGCGATAGAGGTTTCAATGGGCAATTGCAAGATACGAATAGAGTGAAATTGTAGTCATAAATCAGCATAATGTCGATAAATGTCACCTTGCTTAAACAAACTGACGGATGAGCAAAATGCATGAAGCTTTTACGGTTGGGAACCAGTGAAACGACAACGTCAGTTTATTTCACGGACAAATTTAATGCAACTAGCGCGCGGAGATTTCAACTTAGCTTACAAAACGGAAGAACTAGACCACCTGCAATCTCTATTCCTGATCGGATTTCAGTTATTGTTTGACTTTAAAAAATTTAAAAATCGCGAGATAATCAGCAAATGTCAAACAAATTAAAAAAGAGAAGAAACTGAGGTATAACTTGTCACTTGCGCTGTTTTTGGGGACGGAGTCCGGGCTTAATTTCTTGAAAGAAGCTTGCTGTAGTTATTAGAATTTTGCATTTACTTCGTATTTTCAAACGGTGCAAAAAAAAAAACAAATGCCTCCCTTTGAAAGTTTCCCACATAATTAATTTTAAATGGTATATAGGGAGACAATTTTTTTTTACAGATCTGTCAAATTGTGCCAGGTTAAAAATTACTCCTTAGTCTATAATTGCTTTTAGTTTTAATTACGTCCGCAAAAACGCCGATTTTGCAACAGATGTCGATCAGCCTAGTAGGCTCGTTGCCAGCTTTCCCGTTCACGGAATTAAATGTTTTTGTTATTATAAAATCTCAATTTTCGAGGCGAGTTCCTCGGCTACTCAGTTTCCTGAAGGGGCTGTTGAAAGCTGAGTGTATTCAGTCTCTTCCCGGCATAAACCTTGAAAGCCCTTTAAAATAAAGTAGTTTAATACTTAAGGTATATGTATAATTATTATATATTTCTTGTTTCTTCGAATTCGGCAGACTCGTGTTTAAGTTTGAACTGATCATGCCTTTCACTGTGGATTCGGGATGTTTGTCTGTTTACTGCACAATCTCTAATTATTGATTTATGAGCAACACGGTTTCTCCGTCTTCTCTTGTACACATCGGGTAGAAGCTTATTCAAAATAGCTAGAAATCCAGTCCGGAATTGTCTCCTCATGCAGAAATAGATAACGGGCTTCAGCGCGCATGGTAGAAATATGCTATATGTTGACATCAGTGATGCTTGTCTTGGCATTTCTATCCCAACGGCTGCCAGCAGAAAAAGCAGCAAAATCGGAAACCAGCACAGGAGTACCATGATTACAACTGAAAACAGAGTTTTGGCCGAGTCGATTTCCTCAGACGCAATGGAAGTCACTGACGTAAACGACTTTATACGTTTGTTCATCTCGATCAGAAGCTTCACCCTCACAAAGCATGCAATAATAACAAAAACTGGCAGACCGATCACTAATAGTGTGAAAACCGCGGCGTAGAACAAATTAGAACCAAAGAATATAAAACACATGGCGTTTCCTGGCAAGAAGAGGAAATCTCCCCATCCCAAAAATGGCGGAAAAGCGCATAACGCGGCGAAACTCCAGATTAGTATTATCATCCATGTGATGTTTTGCTTTCTGAAGACGTTCATGTACCTTAAGAGGCTCGTTATCAAGAAATATCGGCTGATGCTTATTGCTGCTAGAGTTATAATTGAGACTGTCAGGAGAAGACAGCTCACATAGGCGACCATGGAACAAAGAGCATTTCCAAAACTCCACCTCCCTGTTATGAGAACAACCACACCGAATGGAACACAAAGAACAGTTGCCATCAAATCCACAAAAATCACGTTAAGAAGAAGCAAATTGTGCCATGTGCGAAGACGTGGGCTCGTATACATAATGAAACACGAGAAAATGTTGCCAGTTGTTGATATAACAAAAATAACGGCTAAAACAATAGTTTCGATAACTACAAGGTAGATCGGTCGCTCTAATAGATCTCTTGCCGCTTTCCAACTGCTTACGTTTAGATCTGTCATGATGAACTTGAAAAACGAACCAAAAATTTTCAGTTTTTTTAACTCTTCAGGAAAAGCTCTCTACCCCTTCTGCTACCGAAAATTACTTTAAACTTAAGGAAGTTCCAACTACCGACCATAAATCTCCTCTGGATGCTGTCTGCATGCGGTTCACCCACTGTACAAGTATTTCTTATAACAGACTTTCCATCAACGCTACTGGCTGTGAGCTCAATTGACTTTTCATATACACTTCATGTACTGAATATCCTAAACCCTCACGTCAAAAAATTCTTCTCTATAACCTTTTCCTCTCTTTTTTGTCCTGTCATTTACGTAAGTCATCGGCGATCTGAGGTTTTAATGCGCGGCGAAATATAATTATTTAAATAAGATGCCTTTTCTCCGCCTAATTTGAAAGTAATATTAGTCATGCTTTGCGATTCCTGTTTAGATATTAATGTCAAGAAGTGAAGAAACAGACTGAACTTTTAATTAAAGCGTTATTTGAACACATGTTTTAGTTCTAGGGCAGCTGGTGCTACACTCTCTTTACCCAAGGGTTTTGTCTTATCATAGTTGACTTCAACTGTGATGTTTCTATGAAATTTTTTGAGCACAGAAACCTGAATCTGAAGTCATCTTGGGAAAGTCTGCGATATTTCGAGTAGTATTTTTGCATTGTTATCTTTATTCAAACATTTAAAATTTTACGTTAAAAGAACATGTTAGAATGTCCTGACTGACTTTAATTGTCAAGATGTGTTCATTCGTGAATCTGACATTGCGCTTAAGCCGCTCGTTGATAGCTTGTCAAAGCATATTTACCATGATACATGCCCAGGACTTGAGCTAAAGGAGGCTTGTTTTTCCACTCCTGCCAGGCCTATTTATCCCGATGAGCCATAGATATCTTTTAATATACGCAAAAAACAGTTTTCTGATTGGCTGGAATTTTTTCTATTTAACATTTCACACGCGGACATGGCGAATAAACAAAACCAAGCTTTCGCCTGTTTTCAAGTCATTAAAAGTCATTTCAAAACCGCACGTTCAATATCTGTTTCTCATGGCTCGAAAATTTTTCGAATACTTTCTGGTATCGTCTCATGAAAACTATAAATATAAGCCGATACAGGTTAAAATTTTCCCTCTAAATGTTAATAAATATTCTAATAAAGGATGCTTCTGTAAACGTGACCCGTGGACAGGTCCTAATTCCTGGTGTAATGTTATTAATGTAGAAGGGTGTTATTTGTTTTGTCATGAGCTTGAGACAAAGAATTTGAAAAAATTAATATTTGCTATCTTTCGTATTTCATTGGCTCACACGACGCTTTGAACAATGCTACTACAAACGGTCTTCAGATCCCGTATAGAATATGAGAAATCGAGTTCTCCTTTGCTCGGTGGTTAAAAATCGAAGCACAAATTCGAAGATCTGAGGTTCATTCGTCGTGGAGACTCTTTTTTCGTTTCAAGTTCCAGAAGTCACCTTTCTTTAATCGATGACCACGAGTTGAAAAATTTATCATCTTTCTCATTCTATTAAAATGCGGTGTTTATTATTTCATAGCAACGAAGGTCATTGAACTGTTGAATCGACAAATTTCTAAATGCAAATACACGGGGCAACCAGTCAGAAACCACAGTTGTGTGTTGATAAATGACAGAGAGACAAATGAAAATGAACAAATAAAACTCAATAAATAGTTATGATAAATACAAATTATATCAATAGATTGCCATTGTTACAAGCAAAAGTTTTATAACTGACATAAATTAAAAAAAATTTGATAAATATAAGTAAAGCGAAATAAGGAATTAGTCGAGATATGCCATCACGGATCCTTGGTTTTATATCTTTATCCTCATTTTATGTATTTAGGTTTTTTTTGTTTTTGATGTTCTATTTTCCCCTCGGTTTTGTATATCTTTTAGTTTTCAACTGTTCCCAAGAACGCCAGGTTTTTCCTTGTCGCGGTCGTGTCGTGTAGGCTACTTTCGTTTCCAAGCTGCTCTCTGTCAGTAATAACTGGTCCTTTACATGTAAGAAAGAACTGAGTACTAGCACACGAAGGTGTTGTTGTCGGCCATTTTAGAAGTTTAGTGTCATCAACACAACCTTATTTTCATAGGATTTTTGCACGATCACCTGGAGAAATATGTCTGATCGGAAAGCTGAGTTAGAGAAAAAGCGAAGGCGCTTAGAAGAAATCAAACGAGCCCGAGAAGAAAAGAAAAAGGTGAGAGTTCGCCAAGAACCAGTGCTGTTCAGACTTAGTGATTTCAACTTGCTGTATGTACAAAGCTGATTGGTTAAATAGATCTTAACTGTTCTTGTTTTGGTGCAAATATAAAATGTGCATCAAGGAGATTGCATCAGCTAGAAGGTATACGTAAGATTTGTAAACACGAGTACTTGTATGTACGTAAATTTTTAAAAATTGATCGATAAATCACAGACTGTTGAATGAATATGACCGATTTGCACTTAATACTTGGTGGAGTGATTGAATATCGTTCTCAAAAAGAAAGTATATTTGTGTTTATTTCGCCTATCCCGCAACAAGAAACACTTGTTGTTAAATGCAGATGGGTACTTGTAGCTGGATGTACATGTACAGTGGCAAGAATCTTAAGTGCTTAGTCGGGGTGCTGAGAATAACATAAGAACCTCAAATGTTTTTTTTTTGGCTGTCCACTTGCTGAAATTGTCGTATTGAAAGATTCTCCAACATTTTTAATCCAGGAAAGTAGTCCTGTGTTGCTTTGATCTTACTTAATCACACTCAATGATGGGTTGAAAGAGAGATAAAAAGAAAAAAATACTTAGCCAAAAATTAAGACAGAGGACTCAAATAAATTTAAAATGGTCAATTTCTCTAGAACCTGAGATCTTATTTGCTCATGGTGATTTTTGCTGTTTTTTTTTCTGGTTGGTCTTTATGATCACTGTGGTTTTGGTCATATGAAACTTGTTCATGGAAGATGGTACAAAAATTGTGTTATATTTAAACTCTTTTGTCTCATCAAAACTTTTTTTTATGTTGACATGCTAATTATCATTGCATTCACAATTACTCTTTTCATCATATTGATATTGTTATCCTGTCTCAGTGGTTTTGCTAGTGGTAGGGACTGAAATCTGTCATTTCTCCAATTATCTCTGGATAGGTTGCTTTTTCTTATGCTAGCAGTATGTGGGGCATTTCTCGCATATGAGTGTAGTTATTAGATAGCTCTCTGTTTCAATTATGGACTGGAGCATCCAATTTAAAATCATATCTGGCTGTAGGGTTTGATTCTGTTTGGGATAATCCAGGGGTTAAATAGGTTTTTCCATAAGTGGTTGACTGGTAGTGTTATAGGCTGCTGTACCAGAAAAGGGGCTGTTAGACAAAACCCAAACACATGCAGGCTAAATAGAGGTCGTAAGAGGTCTTACAAGTGCAGAAGACTGTCCATAACCTGCTTTTACGGAAACCCCTAGGTAATCAGATTTCTTCTACTTCATGCCAAAGTTGTTGTACCTCTTTGTTTATTTGTTTTAATTTCCAATTTTTATAACTTGCAGCAAGAGCAAGAGCAAAGCAAGACAGCGGCTGCACCAAAGGGTGGTGCCAGTGCTACTTCTGCATCAGCAGAATCCAAAGAGACTGATATTGAGAGGAAAAAGAGGGAAGCTGATGAGCTGCTCAAGGGAATTATTCCTGATGATGTAATTGATGGCACTGCAGGTCTGCATTGTTTCTTTTCTAAAATCTTTTCTTTTGTTTATCTTTTCAATAACATGAATACATTCATGTTCAAAAGCCATCAACCAAGTTATGAATTTGTTTCAAATTCTGTTCATCATCTTGCAGACTATTTAAAAGAGCACAAGTATCATACTAGCCAGCTGATTGTGCATCATACAGTCTGTTCTGGTTTGAATCAATAGCAATACCTGAATGAGATATGATCTCCTGAAAAAGTGAAATAACTAAGATGTGCATTCCTTTATTCTGAACCTGTGTGGAGGAAGTCCACATTACAGGTCTGCAGTCAGCATGAGAGTTAATGTTATGGTCATCAACCCTTAAACTCCCAAGATCTCATTGGTAAATCTCCTTACTGTCTGCCAAATGATTCTCATGATGTTAGTTGGGAGAATTTGGTGTGGGATCAATTAGTAATCCAATAATTGATATTTTTCTTTTCTCATCACCTGTCTGCATGATATTGTATTGATATGGTAAGGAGAAATTCTGTCTTGGTCACTCACGGGAGTTAAAGGGTTAAGTGCTTTGACCAGTGTAACAGTAGCTCTGTGTCAGAATTTCCACTGTTAGAAAGTTCTCAAGGTGAAGGGAACAAAGAGTAATTTACATCTAAAGAGAGAATCAGTTTTGTAGGGACTTCACTAAAGTAGGAGTTTGCTATCTCAAAATGAACAGTTTAAATCAGAAACCTTAAGTGTGTGAGGAGTAATGCAAATGTAGTTTCAAGGTGAGAGCATAAGATTCACTTTGTTTTTGTGACTCACATGCTCAATGTGTGAGACTTGTAAGCTCTGTATGACAACTATAGTGTATGACGTTCACTCTTGTCTAGTAGCCTTTCTGTCCCCATACTGTACATGGATGCTTTAAGCATCAATATCACATATGAGTTATGTCTTTCATTAGTGTCTCCCCTAATACCAAGATCTACCAAAAGTGAAGGAGCCAGCCCAGGTAAAGATGTGACATCAAGGCCTTTGGCACACCAGTAAGTAAAACATGCTGCCTCCAATAATATAAATTACTGTTTATTCTTTTCTTTTCTTTTTTTTTTTCTTTTTTTTACTTCTTTTGAATTGCCTATAGTTAAGGCAAAGGAAGAAGTTTATTTCAGTCTCTTTATAAAATCAGACATGGTGTTTGTAATATTATTTAACCTTGTGTATGATATCGTGTTGGTTTTTCCATTTTAGGTTATTTCCTCTGTTCTTGTGTGCACTGATTAATTAGCAAGCATGAGAAGAGTAACTTGTATATTTTAAGGTCACATACAAAAGCTGTTTGTAGTTTATCAGAGGAAACCTGAAAAGAGCATACATGTACCATCATTATACACATGTATTATCTTTTCTCTCCTAGGGGATTTTTCTTGGGGTTCTTCAGTTCTTGTCCCTCCACCAAAACCACAATTTGAAATTCCAAACAGGCCTGAGTGGAAAATACTTCATACTATCACCATACAAGTGTATTCTCTTTTCTGTCTTGGGGATTTTTTCTTGGGGTTCTTTAGTTCTTGTCTCTCCACCAAAACCATAATTTGAAATTCCAAACAGGCCTAAGTAAAATTTACTTTATACCATCATAGTACTGGTGTATTCTTTTTTCTGTCTTGAGGATTTTTCTTGGGGTTCTTCTGTTATTGTCCTTCCACCAAAACCACAATTTGAAATTCCAAACAGGCCTGAGTGGAAAATATTGTATGCCATCATTACACATGTGCATACTTTTTTTTTTTGTTCAGCGTTTTTGTCTTAGGGATTTTTCTCTGTGTTCTCCAGTTTTCGATCTGCCCCCAAAACCATTATTTGAAATTCTGAGGAGACCTAGGTGCATGCATCTTGTCAAAAGATGTGTTTTTGGCTCCTTGAAATTGTATGGACTAATAAATTGCCTTTTACCTGGCTTGTTGCTTAGTGGTGACAGCTGGCAAAGTTTGCCAGATTAAAAGGTGGCAGTTGGGGGCTGAATTTTTGATGTTACACACTCACAATTGTTTGATAGCAAATTCTTTCATCTAATTGAAAATATTTATATGTATACCTTACTAACCTGAGTATAAGGGACATTATAATAAAACACTGTATGAGCACTTTTTTATGTGACTTCTTTTCATTTCTTGCATCACTGTTTTGTAAACAGGAAGCCTAGCAATACTGCTATCCTTGTGCTGCCTCACTTTAAAATTTCAGCCAGTAGTTTATTTCTTAGCTACAACCCTTTTTACTATAGCTAATTTTCCATATTCCACCAGCCAACTCAATTTATCATTTATCAAATGGTCACTTACTTTCCCTTTAGAGAGAAGAAAAGGCTAGTGAAGTTGGGTGTATCACAGCTTACTCAGACAAATATTCCACCCAAGGTCAGTACCATCACTGTTTCAGTACATTTCTTTCAGCCACTATGCATATCACCTTGTAAAATGTACCTTCAGTAGTGTTACAACCATGCTGATAAGCTACCAGTAATTCAAAACAAGTTTCAGGTAGTGGTGACTTTATATACTTACCAGGACTAGGTTGTTCAAAGCTGGGATAACAAAGGGTTTGTGTGAAATCTAATTTCAAATCTGAAATCTTTAAAAGAAAATTCAGTTGAACTCTTTTTGTCCACAAAGGTCTGGATTAAAATTAAAATCAAACCCTGTGCTAGCACTAATCTGCCATCAAACAATTGGGTCTTGGCTCATGTTGTTTAAGGCTGGGTTCAGAATTAATCCAGGGTTTGAGTGAAATCTGATTTAAGATCTGAAAACTTATAAATAAAATCCAGCTCTTCAATCTTTTTGTCCACCATTTTTATTTTGTTCTCCATTTTTTTTTTGTTCTTAAAAGAAAAGCAAAAATTATTCCAAAAAGGCTTTTGAACAAAGGTATGAAGAAACCTGGATTAAATTGTAACCCTTGGTTGGAGCTAATCCACAATCAAACAATTAGGCCCTGGGCCAGGTTGGGTCAAGATAACCCAGGGTTGGTGTAAAATTTGATTTCAGATCTGAATACTTGAAAGAAAATTCAGTATACTTTTTTTGGTTACAATTTGGTGTTTGGATGCTTTGAAGAGAAGAGATAAAATTTACCCAAACAGGTTTTTGAACAGAGGAGTGAAGAAACCAGGATGAAAATTTAAACTGGGGCTCAGAAGTTTAGTTTAATATATCCTTTACACCCTAAAATCAGTATGCATATTGTCCATTCTGAATTTTTCTGAATTCTGTACATTTCCATGGGTTCCGACAAGAAAGGCAACAATTTTGGTGTAAATTTTATGTCTTGGGCATAGTACATGAATGCTGAAGAGAAATCTTACACACAGTGTGCAAAGATAAAAAATGCTGTGCCTTTTACATCTTGACACTGAAAAATCATTCTGTACATTTTCATCAGGAACCAGTTTTGTATAACAAAGAAACACAAACTCAAAATGCAGAGCCAGAAGAACCACCTGGTGAGTTAAAGATTTTAAGAGTGTAACTTAGGGTAGCAGTAATTACAAGGTAGGGTGACAGAAGTAATTGCCTATACCACTGACCACTGAAGAAATTTTGAAAAACACCTAAAGTATATACATACAACTGTTTATTATTAAAGATTCCAAGTACTGGGTATAACACACTGGGTAAACTGCAAACTTGTGCAACAACAAGAAGACACTTTGTCTGTCAGGCCAACCTAACATTTTCTGCAATCTTTAACCCTTTAACTCCCAAGATCTCTTTAGTAATTCTCCTTACTGTCTGCCATATAGTTATTTTGATGTTAGTTTGGAGAATTTGGTATTGGATCAACTAATAATCCCCTAGTTAATATTTTTCTCTATTCTTGTCACTTGTCTGCTTGATATTCTATTGATATTTTAAGAGGAAATTCTGTCTTGGTCACTCATGGGAATCAAAGGGTTAATTGCCTATAAGCTTTTGATGTCCAGGAACCTCTGAAGGAGACAGTTCCTAGACCAGTTAAAGTGTACCTCTACCATGGCTGACATTCCCTTTAACTCATCCATGAGCCCACAATCCTACCTGGAAAAGGCAGGGTGGAATTAAGCATCATACCATGTACTACAAGATGGTTAATGTGGCAAAAACTCCATCCAGATCATGGGTGGAATATGTGCCAGAAAAATTCAGAACCATCAGCCACTGACTACTTCAATCCTCTATGTTGTTAACTTGAATAGTTAACATGAGCTGAGTAGCAAGTTCTTTAAAATTATTTATTGTTTATTTGATAATTTTTTTTAGACGAATTTGAGACTCCAGCTGCACCAAAGCCAAAGGAGACTGAAGCACAACCTGAACCTGAAGATGGAGGAGAAGATGGAAGAGAAGAAGGTTATTAAAGTATTTATTTTGTTCATAAGATACGACATTCAATCCATCTGATCCAGGTTCAAAGGATGGATAATGCTATTCTTTGCACAGATTTGTCTTTTAGATAGTGCAGTACTTTTTATTAATACTAATCCATTGGTTCGTGTTATCCACCCTTTGAATTAGTGGTCCTATAGTTTTTACAAATACAAGAAGCTACTGCACTTTTATCCTTTTAGTCCATCATTCTTTAAATCAAGCCCTTTGTAAAAAGTCCTTGGAATTTTTCAGTCTTTCAGTTGTTCGTTTTTGAACCAGATAGAACCTTCTTGTTATTAAATGAGAGAACATCACTTTTTTTCTTTGATTCTTATTCATTTCCTCCCCCTGCAGTGCCTGTCATAGAGCTGAAAAACTCCTTGAAAAGTAGTTCCCTCTTTCAGTTTGTTGGCTATTTAAAGGTTTTCATTTTTTTTAACCAGATTGAACCTTCATGTAATTCAATGAGGGGAGGAAACTTCACCTTTTTTTCTATGATTCTTATTCATTTACTCCCCCTACAGTGCCTGTCATAGAGCTCAGTGATGAACAAAAGGAACAGATATTGAATTCTGGAGAATTCAGCAAGTTCTTTGATAAAGCGACAAGAATGATGGAAAGAGCCTTGTGTGAAACAGTTGATATCACATTTGATTACTCTGGAGCTGAGACAGAGGACACTGAAGGGTAGGGTTTTTTTTTTCTGGTAACCTGTTTATCCCTAAGAGCGACAAATTTGTAATTTCACACAACAGTATCACCCCTGAGTCAAATATCAAGGTTATGAGAATAAAGGAAATGATTATGAACTCAAAAAGCTCTTAGTTGTTGAAAAAATTCTTCTTGTTAGAACCATAGGAAATATTTAGAGAACAGTGTGGGGAACATTGTTGGGTCTCTTGCTCTCTCTCTCCTCCATAGAACCATAGCTGTGAACAAGCCTTATCCACATGGAGAAGTGACATGCTTATAACTTAACTCCCAGGATCCAATTACCTATCATCCTGACTGACTGTCAAGGGTTCCTCCTTAAATTGTAAAGAAGGTTCCATTTTAAATCGAGATAAAACTCTCTGGCTGACAGGCTTCTCTATTCTCCTAACCCGTTTGCGAGATTTTGTACTAGATTTGCGATGAGAAGTTACAATTTAATCTCTTCTTGGAGTTAAAGGTTTAAAGCTTAAAAAACCAGGTTAAGCTCTTGAAATGTTGGGCTATTTGGCCTGTAAGAGTCTTCTCTTTATTTACCATGTACACTGCTTTTTTGAGTGCTTATCATTGCATCGGTGTATGTTTATGAAGTTAATCCTCAGCATTTTTTTTTCTTTTGTCACAGAGACACACAGGCCTCTGGTAAACTCTCATTCAACCGAGAGTTCTTTGATGAGAGGTGGTCAAGGCATAGGACAGTGACTTGCCTGGACTGGTCAACACAGGTACTGGAGGATGATAATTTGTTGTTGTTGTTGTGTTCAGTAGACTTCATTTAAAATTGTTTAATTTTGTGGAAGAAGAAAAATGTATTGTAGAAGTTGTGGCACCAGAACAACTCCAGAAATGCAAGATTTTACACCCTAAAATCAGTATGCACATTCTCCAAACTGTTTTCTAAACGTTTCCTAAGATACCGACATGGAGAATTTATCTGACAGTCAAGAGCTTCTTCAGTCGTTGATCAGTTCTTTTATTCTCCTGACCTTAATGTTTGATTCAGGGGTGATATGGTTAGGAGAAATTAGATGTCGGTCACTCTTAGAGGTTAAAGGGCTAACCCTAGACCGCAAGTAGGCCGCCAGTATTAGCGCTTCAGGTTACGTGTTTCTCTGCCGGCGGAAAGATTTGTGTATTAGTGCCAGACCCCTTGCAGACCTCCGCCTGCTCGCGTCGCTCAAGGCTCATACTTTCCCACAAAACGCTCAAGCTGAAGTTTTTACAGTAATCCCCTACCTAGAGGGAGTGAGTATGGATAAGCTTACAAAATTATTTGCTCTCGGACATGTATGTGACGTGCAATCATTTTAATCTAACAGCAAAGTAAAAAATGGCGTAAATTGGTCACCCAAAGAGTTTCAAAGCTGACGTTTCGAGCGTAAGCCTTTCGTCCTTCGCTTTGTCGAAGGGCTAACGCTCGAAACGTCAGTTTTGAAACTATTTATAGTGGCCAATTTTCATTGTTTACTCAGTTGATAATACCAAATTACCTTGTTGTACTCTCCCACCAACGCAGCACCACAGTTTCTTCAGAAACTTGCCCCCTTTATTTAAAGTGAAAAATACATTTACATGTACTTTGCATGTTGAGAGCAATGCATACAGACGTAACTTATACAGTGCTTTGTGAGAAACATGATGGCATGACTTTCAGTTACGCCTTGTAAGTAACATAAATATGTGTCTGATGCATTCTTAGTACCCAGAGCTGTTGGTAGCATCGTACAACAACAATGAAGATGCCCCACATGAGCCTGATGGTGTAGCGCTCATATGGAACATCAAATATCAGAAAGAATCTCCGGAATATGTATTTCACTGTCAGGTGAGAGAGTTAGTTACTTACCGGTATGCATTTAATAGTTTTTGCTAAGAGTAGGGACTGTATTTTTTAAAAAAGCTTTAAGGTGTGCAGTAGCCTCAATGCTATAGCGGTGCAAAGACAGCCTAAGTTTAATCAACGTGAATAGTCCATTTTACAGTTTCGTGCTTGGTTGCCAAGCCTCTAAACGGGAGTGAGGCTAAGGGTGACCTTAGCTTGTTATGATACAAACGTTGCTGCTTTTCAAATGCAAATGACTTTGTCATCATGCTAACTTGATACTGGTCTCCATCACAACAAGGTCACCTTCAGCCTCACTCCAAGTCAAAGGCTTGGCAACTAAGTACACTACTGTAAAGGGCATCACAAGGAATATCTATCATGCTGAATATAGGTGCATGTATTATACGTATCAGCTGAAATTGAAGCCCCCTTTGCCAAAACACGAAGTCTAGTTTTGATAAGTCGTGCTTTGATATCCCCTCTTGTTATACTTGCGACTTGGATATGTATTTTTTAAATGGTACGCTTTCTTGTCCATCATGCAAAAATATCGCACATATATCAGGCGAGATTAGATATATTAGATATGTTAGATATAGCCTTAGTACTTTAATCCCACAGCTACCCTGTGTCTTTCAGCCATTTTTAAGACCATCGCGTTGAATTACAGATCTGATAATTCCTTTCCATTTCAGTCTGGTGTGACGTCAGTTACCTTTGCCAAGTTTCATCCCAATTTAATCGTTGGTGGGACATATTCAGGCCAAATTGTATTGTGGGACAACAGAAGCAGTAAAAAGACCCCAGTACAGAGAACACCTCTCTCTGCCACTGCACACACAGTAAGTGAATTCTATGTTAATTTTGTTTTCCTTCTTTGGTGTTTGGATGTCAGGGCTAAGTAAATGTCTGTAAAAAGTTATCTTTATTTTTCTGAGCAAGACCTCTAAGTGATAGCTGAATAAACCGTAACGATTCGATTTAGCGCCCTCGTTCCTCTCTCTAATGAGCGCCCCCTCCAATTTGATTTTGTTAATAAGCGCCTATTCTATTTTTGTGATAGCACTCTTAAAGTACTGCACATTGAGATCAAACGTGGTTTATTGGTTTCTTAAAGCCTTATTTTAAAAGCGGTTGCCTTTGTCTTAGTTTCTCCACTATCACGTCCATGTGAGTGTACAGTTATTTCTAACGACTGATCTCGTCTTCAAATCTTTCGGCGATTGCTTGGCTGGGTGTTCGAGCCAGGAAGGATTCAGGGATAACAAGTCCCGTTTTCCAGTCTTCTTGATCCTCTTCGCACATTCTGCTGTTTCTCAAAAAAAGGAATTAACGCCCTATCCTTAATAAAACGCAAATAAGCGACCAGGCACTAAATCGAATCATTACGGTGTGCAAATGAATTTTCAATTTGTAGATTTGATCATACATGTATTTTATTCCCTTTTGTTTTTGGTACTGGTATGTGTAAGAATGAGTTTCAAACTTAAAGGATGAACAGTGTATCTGTTGAAAACGGATGAAATTGAAACGCAGCATCTTCATGAACATTTTATCTGACTGTAAAGAGAAACAAAACAAGAAAACTACTGTTTTATTACTGCTGTTTTTGTTTGTTTTTTTCATAACGATTGTGTAATTAGATGATTTCTTTTCTCTGTGTAGCATCCGGTTTATTGTGTGAATGTGGTTGGAACTCAAAATGCTCACAATTTGATCAGTGTGTCCACTGATGGAAAGATGTGTTCTTGGAGTCTTGACATGTTGTCACAGCCCCAGGTGAGTCAGCGGTTATGTTAACAACTTACTTCAGCTTGTCATATCACGACAAAACTAGACTCTCAACTGACTAGGGTCTCTTTCGTGAGTGACGAATGGTCACTCTTACTTATGTTGTGGTCAACTGTTGTCAGCGGCAACTGTCCGTCTCAGGACAATTGCCGCATAGTAAAACTGCACACAACCTGATGTTTGCTCTTTTGGGGAGGCTCTTTTATGGTTTGACCAACTTGAAAAATTTAGTTGGTAATTGCTTTTCAAAGTCCCCATTCGTAATCCGTGTTGGGGCGCTTTTCGATCGAGAGTCGTAAAACCAAAGCAACAAATCACAAGGACTAATGAAATGAAAAGAAATTTCTTGACCATTGTGAACTCAAAGTGACAACAAGCATACTGCTTCATGCATGGGGAAACGCAGGTTACCATGTCGCGATTGGCAGTAGTTTTAAATCTGTTTGGTTGAGAAAGTAGCGCTGGTTTTGTGGTTACATTCTGTTCTCTTTTTGGTTTACTTTTTTCCTTCTCGCTGTTTTTCTTCCTCAGCGAATGATAATTTCAATCTTTTATTTCATTTTTGACCTTAAAATACCCCAAATGTTATGCTATAGCTCCATTTAGCACTTGCCGTAAATGTTCTTCCTTGCCATCTCTGTTTATTTCAGGACAGCATGGAGCTTCAATTTAAACAGTCCAAGGCCGTGGCTGTGACGTGTTTATCGTTTTTGGCCGGTGATGTCAACAATTTTGTGGTTGGGAGCGAGGAGGGCTCGGTTTACACAGCCTGTCGACATGGAAGGTAAGCTTAACTTGCGCATATTTGAGATTGTCTTGAACGCTGTACACCTTGTTTTACAAATGCAGGACATGCAGGAGAACGCTGGTGCGTAATCATCAAAACGAGAACTTTCTAATGAACGAAAATATATATTTTTAAACACTTCTTGACGCAGTAGAACGTATGAAGCGGTGACAGTGATAAGAAAAGTCAGACCTTACAAGGCAGAGGCACTGTGACAAAAGCACCAAGAGACCGTTATATACTTTGTAAAATGTTTCTAAGAGTCGGCAATGCTGAAAGATTAGATGTATAAGATGTGTTTAGCTTACTTTAGTGATAATTGCTCTGTGGTTTTTCAATATTAAGGGTGTTGGGGCTTTCTATGATCTTTCTAAAGCTTGAAGTGCGTGGCTGCTTTGAGCGGCGACACCGTGAGAGATACGGAACAGAAAACTGTGATAAGTTTCGCCACTGGAAGCTACGTTGTTCATTTTCATGCTCCCGCCGCCTTTGTTTCCATAGAGCGCCCCCACCCACCCCCTCCCCCCTGAAAAAAACGCCAGCCATCAGGCTAAGGGGAAAAATAAATGAATTTTAAGCTTTATCTGGATCAACGTAACGTATTAGCTCATTTTTCTACAACTGCGCATTATGTTTCTCAAAGAGCATTCGTATGATTCAACTGTTTCGGAATTGTGCCAAACTCAAAATGGATGAAATCCTTGTTTACTTATATTTTACAGTAAAGCGGGAATCAGTGATATATTTGAAGGTCATTATGGACCAGCGACAGGCATTGATACTCACTCGGCAGCAGGACCTATTGACTTCTCTTACCTGTTTTTGACATCTTCATTTGATTGGACCATCAAACTGTGGAGTCACAAGGTAAGGTTTTTAAACAGAAATTTTCGAACGATTCTCTTACATCTGCCTTTCTATTTTCCTAAGTCATTGAATGCTCGCCAGGAATCACGGAGTTCTAATCCTTGTACCGGGCAAGATGGCGTTGTACAAAAGGAAAAAGGCATTGCTAACATTACAAGGATAAAAAAGATAACTGGCACGGGTTCGAATCCATTCTTGTAGTGGCGCTGCTTCACGAAATCCTCTCACGCTCCTCGCCGAGCCCGTGGAATGTCTGTGTACTCCTTCCGACAGCGAGTGAAGCAGGCTGGCTCGTCTCTCTGCGACTTTGTATAGTGTTTGTCCTACGTAGTGATTGTCCAACAGCGCCATTGAGAGCCTGCGCATCGGCTAAATCCTCAAGGGGTATTTCGCTTCCCCTTCCCTCAACAAAAAGTTTTAAACATCTTTATTGACAGTGTTATATTTATTGGCAGAACCCACGTCCGCTGTACTCTTTTGAAGACAATGGCGATTATTTGTATGACGTACAGTGGTCCCCAATCCATCCTGCTTTGTTTGCTGCCGTGGACGGAACAGGAAGACTGGACCTGTGGAATCTTAACAACGACACAGAGGTAAAGTGGTTATGAACTTCCATTCTGTTTCAACGATTAGATTATGTACTCGATGTAGTTGATGAGGGCGAAGGCCGAAGCTATTTTCATGTATAGAAATCGAGCGTGAAAAATGTAACTCATTCAGCATAAAGCTAAAAAGCTACATGAACCAGTCGTTTCAAACTGAAAAGCAAGATAAACTTGTGATCTTTACTGAATAATGGTACAAAGCGGTCACGTCATGTGCTGATAACTGTCAAGCGCACTTCACTCACCATCTATCACAGAATAGATAGCGAGTAGCGTAGACAATCATAAAGCAGCAATTGTTGTAAATCGCAAGTAGAACTATACTAAAGAAGACATAACAGCATGCAGAAACGGCAGTATTTGACATGTTTCTCTCAAGGTAAGTTAACTCGCGTCCTTTTTACTGCAACTGGAACGATCAGCATTGCTCTTCGTGTTTTCATTACGAAGCTTCATAGGTCATTAGGATATCCGTAGTATAAACAGGGCCCTATAGCTTGTGCAAAGTTCGGAAAAGTCTTCATGTGGAATGATCTTACGAACAGACCTTAAAAAAATGTCGAGTCGTCGGTCAAACTTATTGATCGGACAGCCCATTTTTGGGCGAAAAAAGTGACCATTGCGCCATATCTTTCTCAAACTTATTAATAATTCATGCTGAGAAAACAAGGGAAATTGCAACCGTGATAGAGGTTTGGATATGTGATCTTAATTATCATAAAATTTGGTGAACTTTTGCTTTGATTTTCTCCAAGAATTATTAATAGTTTGAGAAGCTTTATCAAACCTTCGAAAGGGTGTTTCACCCGATATCCAACACCTTGAAATTGGTTGAAAAAAACGAGGCGCAGCCGAGTTTTTTTCAACCACTTCTCGGTGTTTAGATATCGGATAAAACACTCTTCCTCGTGTTTGATATATTACTTGAAAATGCCTTCCCCACCCCCTACATTTTGATGTTTACATTTGAAAGTAGTACATTTCCACGCCTTTAAGTTTATTGTTCATGCAGCCTCGAACTCAATGCAGGAATAGTGGAACGCACGGTACAGCAGCAAAGTTCGGAAAAAAAAATTGATATTGATATGATTGTCGTAATAATACAAGCTAACTCATGTGAATATACAATATGAATAAAATATGTGGTCAATGTTCGAGATGAATCATTTAATTGAGATAAAAAGAGAATAAAACATAGGCGCGCGCAGATATTGAATTTCTCTTCGAATTTCCAATATCGATATCAGAGTGAGCGTATCGAGCACTCAATCGGTGTGTAGGAAACATGGTACATGTACTGAGTTAGTTGTAAGCACTTCTTCCATCGGGTTTAAAAGTAGCTCTTTCTGTGGCACGCACTCATTTGATCTCATGATGCTCCTTATTCGTGCTCATATTCAGTCAGCTGTAAAATTTATTATGCCAATATTACACATTAGAGATATGTTTCATTGTTGCGTAATCATATTCTTCCCGCTGCGACCAAATGTATTCCACGTGAACGCTTTTGAAAGTCTAGTTGCAATCTAATATGGCGTATTCTAAATATCGAAAAATCCTGTTCGTTTGTCGAGGGAATACTTGTCGGTCTCCCTCCGCTAAAGCGATTTTAAGGCATCTTTTACAGGAACGTGAAGATAGGAACGAATGGGAGATTGACAGCGCTGGAACTCTTGGTTTTCGAGAAGGACTCTTATCGGACGAACGGGGGTTGCAAGTGTTGAAGAAACATGAAATTGCTAGCAACCACCGAGCAAGACAAGTAAACGAGGATGATTTTCGTCGTTTTGATGTAATATTGGCCTTTGATGAGAGCAATGTGCGAGATCTGAATGAAACTTTTAAGCCAAATGATGGCACTGCGCAAGCGGAGGTTAAACTGTTTGGCACATATGATCCTAAAGGAGAGTTGATAATACGTGATCCTTACTATGGAGACATTTCAGATTATGAAATGATGTTCGATCATGTTTACAGATGCTGTGTGGAGTTTTTGAAACAGTGTTAGAGAAAGACTTGATGATGTTTCAATCACTGGACCAGTAATTTAGCTTTTTATTTTTACACACTGAAAAGGAAATGCTCAATTCCAAGCGTTTGTGGTGGGTGCAATGTGGATATCTCAAAACCGCAACACCGTGAAAAAAAAACATCAACGCCGCAATATGTTTTGTATCCATGCATGATTAAACACACACACACACACGCAACTGAGTATATAGCAAAGCCATTCTACGTTTTGGAATGAATAGTGCATTAAGTTTATTAAAGGGCTTGAACTAGCGGCCGATCAAAGGATAAAGTCCGGTCACATTGAAAAGGTCTTGTTAGGTCAAATCCTTGGATAGCACAGTCTAGACGGTTTTTCATGCCTGTGAAGCAAAATTTAATGCAGAGGTTCAGGTTTAAAATGTTAAAGGTTCGACATTATTTGCGTTTGTGAATAAAAGGGATAAAGACCGAATGAGATACTACCAGACCAATAATTTTTACTTTATTTTGTCCGCGAATCAGCGGGTCTTCATAAATAGCGATGTAAATTGGTATGTTTTGTTTGCTTGAATTTGATTGACGTCGCGTGACGTGACGTGAAAAGAATAACAATGCCTCTCAGTTTTTGTATTAAAACATATTACGATTTAAGCTTATATTGTATCGGATATAACCATCGGGCATGAATTCTATTAGTAAGGGTTTCTTGATGTATACTCGCATCAGGTAGCTTGTATTTTTACGAGAATCAAGTAGATGGCAAGCTTCAATTTCATTTACTTCGTAACTTTGGTGTTGAAATTTATAATATGATAATCGTATGTAGGACATAGAACTGAAGCGATATTGATTTTACCGAACGTTGCTGCTTGGTGTAACGCAATTCTGATGTGGTATGTAAAAAAAAAAAACCAAACAAACAAAGCTAACCACGTCTCCTCACTCCACCTCTGTTCGTCATCTTTTCTAGGTACCAACAGCGAGCACCAGCGCCGAATCAATGACGTCACTTAATCGTTTACGATGGACGCATTCTGGTCACCAGATCGCCGTGGGTGATGATGACGGTCACGTATTCATCTATGATGTTGGCGAGGTAAGTACTAGCGTTTTGTATAACACAGGCGGAGAACTTAGTTAGAGTGTTGACTACATACTCACGTAGAGCAGGAAATAATTACTGTTTTCAAAGTATCGTGATCAGAAACTCTCAGTTCAAGAAAGTAAAATTTAATATTATGCACTAAGTTTGTAGGGTTTTTTTTTGCCTCTCTGAGTCGCGTAAAACGCCTTGTTATGTAACATTATCAACCTTTGGGTATAGCTGGAGGAGAACTACGCTGTTTCATCGAAATTTCAGCTTACTTATTTCATGTTTTCAGAGAACGTTGCCTTCAAAATTCTACTGTTCAGTGCTTCATTGGTAACCGCTATAATGCTCATAGCCTGCACACAAGCCCTTATAATAGCACTGCGGGACGCGTGTTTTTCCACCCGCGGAAAGATTTTGAAGGTTACCCAAGAGTCGGGCACCAATATCAGTGCAGACCTCTCACCTTGCGTTTGTCAGGGCCACATACCTACCCGCGGGGGTGGGGTGGGAGCGAGACAGAAACGCCCGGGCCGAAGTACTAATAATGAGGGCCAACTCCCAGGGTGGTCTATCTGTGGTGATAAGAGATTCCTTGTCACATAGTTCAGAAGGTCTCAATGGGGTGATGGCTTAAAATTTTGGCTATTTTACGCCTAAATGTCAATATCAGCCAGCAGAGCAGGCGTCTTATAAGGGCGAGTTAACGTAAAGAAGCGCGCTTTCGTTTATTCAACCGGCCTTGTTTGATTTGGAGTCAGAGTCGAGGGTTGGGGAGGGGGCGGGAAAAGGCGAAAAGACGCGTAATATTCACTCCCCAACCCCCAACCCTCTCCTTTTTTTTTACCGTCTCTCATCCCCTGGGTACAAATTTCTTTCTCTCCCCAGCCTTCCGCTGCTATTTAAATCAAAGGTGACAGCCATAATTTTCGCTTAGAAAAAACTGAGCACCCGCTCCCCAAAATTACGCCCTCACTGTAGGCTAGGTTAATAACATTCCATTGTTTCCACCGGAAAGTCTGTTTTGGTTTCCTCTTTTTGCGACTATCGGTTTAAATTTGTCAATTTACACTAAGTTTTTTGGCCGTATTACTGCTTACGTCACGGTTAAATCCATCGAGACTTGTAGTTTACGCTTATTCTCGTTTTTCTCTATTTTCTTGATTTGTTTTAGCAACTTGCTGTCCCAAGAGTGGATGAATGGTCAAGATTTCAAAACACCATTCATGAGATCCAAGCGAATGCCTCATCCAACATTGGCGAAATAGGCTCCCCCAAAATGTCGCCGTCCAAGATGCCATTTAGTTAATTTTATTTCCGCTGTAATTCTGAGATAATAATGCAGTAGGACTGTAATATAACAGAACTGAGTCAGCCATTCTAGGAAAAGGACTCAGTTGTTTTCTCAGGGAGATTGGAATGAAGGTCGTGAATAGGGATGCATCATGTTCTTTATGTTATTATTTGTTCAGGTTTTATAGATGTTAGACTAGTCTATCCACATTTTGCGTGCTGAAGAGAGAGAAATAGGTTAAATGGTGTATTGTCCTGGCAGATGTAAGTTATATTTGTCCTTTTTCGGTTGATTTTAGCAATTTTCTGAAAAGTTTCGAATTTTGCCCGAAACGTACGAGACAACTTTAACTCACAGTATGAAAATGTGTCTGAAAATAATTTTGAAAGTTTTTTGGGTTATTGCGCACTGTGGATAGGGCCTCAACAGTCACAAGTCTTCAATGTGTTGCCCATCGTGAGAGAATTTGACACGTGGTGATTCTGTTAACCTGGAGAAGCTTTAGAAGTAAAATTTTATATATTTATGGCGGTCTACTGCAAGAAATAAAGATATCTGTCAACACATCTCAAGAAATGAGTTAAAAGTTTATCTCACCGGAAATATTAAGCTTGTTAAGGTGTGCTTAGTTAATTTTAGGGTGAGGGTGGCCGGCGACCTAGTCTCCCTCGCGGTCGTTGTTTGGTCTCGTCACGCAACGTTCTCTTCCGCGTTGGTGGGGGAGAGAACGTTGCGTGACGAGACCAAACAATGGCTATGAAGGAGACTAATTGCGAGCAGGCCCTAGTCATCAGCAATCCAGGATGTGTGTTTCTCCGCCCGCCCGCCCGCCCGCGGGAAGATTAGAGACGAGACGGAAAGAGGTTTGCCAGTGGGGTCGCGTCAAAGTAACATCGACAAACAGGAGGTCGCATCTTCAGGTTTCTTTTACGAAGACGTCACGTGTACGGCCCGATTGTGCCGGAAGTTGAGAAATATATTTGGCGAAACAATTTCGTTCCTATACGGTCTGGGTTATATTCACGTACTTTATGTAATCCGATGGGGTCCGACTTACTCGTTTCCAGTTGTAAATTTCAGTAATCGTTCGATTTCGGAAATATTAATCGCATATTTGTTGTATTCGGCATTGTGTCCATGCAAGTTTTATTGTAACATCTACCGAACGGAGGACACGCTGGGAATTAACAGCTGTACGTTTACAATCGGTTTTTGTTATTCTTCAATTTTAATAAAAACCTTTGCTGACCTGAGCTAAACGTTGGCTGTAGTCGGTTCCGTTTCTTTGTCAAGCCTAAGCATAAGAGGTTCTCCACTGTTTTATCATAAAAATTTTGCAAAACGCGATGCATGAGGAGGAGGGGGGGGGGGCGAAGGACGGGGGGGGGGCAAAGGGGGGGCGGGGGCTGACACTTGTTATCATTCAAACTTTTCATTGTAGGAAAAAGTGTCAGTAACAATGCTATGTTAAAGAAATAAAAAACGCGCCGAGTGTAATGTTGAGTTATATAACCACGCGGGAATTTTTTAAGAACACGAGAGAAGTGCAGAGAAGCACGAGCCGAAGGCGAGTGCGTCTCGCATCCCTCGAGTGTTCATGATTTTCAAGTTTGGAGGTGGATTGATTAATCGCACATTTTGCCCACGACAGAGTTCATGTCCTCGTTCACATTTTCACTTCAGGGCAATGTCGGTCGTGGTGACTGACGTTTCGACAACCTGAGCGGAAGTCATCTTCAGAGTCAAGTGACTACTAAGCACTTGACTCTGAAGATGACTTCCGCTCAGGTAACGGACAACAGTCCTTCTCAGGACTACACTCACCTGGACGATCCAACTACACTATTACATGTTACCCCCGGGCTCAAACCATTTACTGTACTAGGAGAATTGCATCAAAACGGCGAAAAACAACCGAGAAAGCATCAGTTTTCCAAGTCGCGGGAATTGTGAAGTAAGCCAGTCGAGGTTATATTTAACAAATAGATTCCAAGTTGCCGTGCGTCTGTTCAGTAATAGATCACAGACGCCGTCAAAATGTGGTAAGAACAAAAAAGTGTCACTGATGTTCCTACCACATTTTGACGTCCTCTGTGATCTATTACTGAACAGACGCACGGCAACTTGGAATCTAATTGTTTTATATAATAAAAAATTTTACAAAAGTTTTAATGATGACGTCATCTATAGTCTGTCCTCCAATAGATCATGAGTGAGTATCAATCAGAATGCGTGCATAACTGAGCTTATTATATAAATAACTAATATGCAAAGAATGATATATGTAGATAAAAATCAAGAGTTGTCACTAACAGTGAATGCTGATGTAGTTGTCCATTAATAATTTGATGTATACGTTGTGGTTCAATGTTATCCTTGGTTCAAATGTTATCTTCCTTTGTTTCAAACTCATTGTCATACATTACAATACCCAATTGCAACCCCTAGTCCTTTCCTATGATCCCTTCTCTAGCTGAGCAATCCAGTGCCTCTCTGTTCAGAAACATAATTGAAAGGGGATTGGGAATGCTCAATTATGAGCCATACAACAAGAGCTTAATTTTGTTGCAAATTGAAGCCTTCAAGTACATAATTCGGCCCCATTCAGTTGTAATTTATCCCAACCTGGAGCTCTGCAACTGAAATTAAATTTGTCAGTCCTGCAATCAGTACAGTATAAACAGAGTTCAATCAGTTCTTGAAGATCAGTTCCTGAAGAGCACTTCCCTCTAACAGCTTTGTTAATAGCATGTTTCCGATGAAGGTTAAGTCCGATCAAGCAGGACTCAGTTTCTTGGACCTCATCTTATTGATAAAATCTTCCGTCGATCGCTTGACATTGGATTATTGTACCAAAAACCCCACCTGACACTCCGAATATTCCTATTGAATCACTCTATATCAACTCAAATTTGAGTGCCCTCCTAACGTACAAGTTAACCTTGGAGCGGAAGGCAGTATTGGCCGCTGAAATCTCCTTCCTCATATGAAATCGAATCAAGCTAAGGCAACGACAACCTAATATTCGGCGCTCTTTTTCGGAAGCCATTAAAAACGTTGATTGAGCTCGCGCAACCCAAGCGCTTGACACCGGTCCTGTTTCTCTTGAGCCGGTTAGCACAATAGATTCAACTGAAAGGAACTTCATCGATGGTGGAAGCTGAATAATGGGACCTCGAGTATTCCTCATTCTTGTTTTTTTTTTCGAATTATTCATTATTCTTTTTTCAATTTTGTTTGGTATTCATTCTTCTCTATTCCATGAACTTAAGCCAGATTTTTACTTGTTAGACTCGATGTCAGGTCTAATTCATGATTATACATTTGATTATAAGTATCACAGTGTCGCATCATACCACACGCTACTGCCGCACCGTGCTACACACTGCGATCTCTTTTTTCAAACTAAGCTGATGTTGTATTTTTCGGTGCTATGGTCATTATTATCATTATTATTACAATGTAATTTTCGCTTTAACGGAAACTAGACGCTCGAGGAGCGTTAACTCGGGCTTCGTATCGAGCGTTTTACTTGAGCATTCACCACTGGATAGTTTGGCATAATTGACTCTAAGCAGGTCTCGCATACTGGGGCTCTATATTTATTCAAGGGGTCATCATTTTCTTCTTCATTACCATTTAATTTATCAGTTTCTCTTGCATCATACACCAATGCAGTATCACTATCTGTTGTTGCATTGTTTGATGTAGCCTGTTGATGTGTATCATTATCGTCTGCATCATTTTATAAAGCTATGAGATAGCTATCAATATTGTTAATATCAACTAGTATATCTATGTACAATGGATTATGTACTTTAATTTGAACTAGTTAAGAACTTGCTTGAAAATAAACATGTCCTCTAGAATGTAACTTTCTTTTAAGCTAAAGTATTATTATACCAGATCTGTCAGGTGGACAAGGGAGTTTATTATATGTCTGATCACATTCTACAGGTACATTGCATATTGCACCTTTAATTTTTCTCTGTTGTCCTTTATACATGACCACAATCTTCTCAAATACTATTCGTTGAGCTATTAGCATTTGTTCTAGTTTTTCTAGTAAGGATAGTTCTTTGAGTATTTCATCCACATACATATTATTCACCACAGCCTGGCAATTTTCCTTTTATGACCTTTGAATGACATGTGTTGCATATATACTGTTTTCCATCAAATGACTGTTGAATATTGAAATATGTTTGGCAAGGGTACTTCTTATTTATGCATGTTATTACTGATTTTCAATAAAGTATAGATTTCCTATAAAGTATAGATTTCACGGAAGAGCTAGGCTTAGATATTTAACCTTTTACTATTCAAGTTGCTTCCGTCAGTATCCGTATCCAATTCGCCGTTGTTAGCGCAACCTTCTAAGTTGTGTTCATGAACATTCTTGATTTTTTCAGCACGTGAGGTGTTCGTCTCAGCATCATAGTTTGTTGTTAAATCGGCTGTCACATTTTTGTTAGTATTTTCGTAGTTTGAATTCACATGGCTCATTTGTTATCTCGTGAGAACTAGTCTGAACTTTGCACATTTGGCTAGCTTTCAAGCTATAGAGTTCATGGACCGGCCCATTCCGAAAACGCTCGACATCATTTTGTATGTGAGATGAGCGTATAAGCCCGGAATCTTTACAACGCGGTCCTCACAAAACACAGTATTCTGTAAATTATGTTGTTTACGAAGAACGAGCACATGATAACACAAGTTGTCGCACTCTCATCCCCAGTTTCCGCGGTTTACGCAAGGAACGCCTGAGACCATGACCCCCTTTTAGCGACCAAGAACGGCTTGCATTATGTGATGTTATTCTAGGATACAAAGAATGAGAAATGTAGATAAACAGTGAATGTTGTCGATACAGTGAATGTTGATATAGTCGTTTTTTGATAACCTGTTGCATACTTTATGAACATATAAGTCAATTTTATGTTATGTTGATCGTACGTTAAAGAATAAAACTAAACAAAATGAGATTCTTCTACTGTTTTAGAGGAAAATCAATCCTTTCAATTATGCAACAAAACCCAGTAAAGGCACAAGATTCTTCTCAATAGAATATTCAGATTTCAGAAGAGCACAAAGACTTTATCAGCGAGAGTGGTTTTGAATGTGATTCTTCACACAAGCAAAGTCAATCTCAGGAGAAGAATGATCAATTTAAAAATGAATGTCCATTCTTGGGTGAAGGACAAATATTCTCACGGGGAGTCTAAGAAACTGACATTCAAAGAGAATTTAACCAAAGAGTGATTTAGAGTGAATTCATGGAAATAGCGTTTTGGCTGTTGATGGAATTCTCGTCCCTTCGAAA